CCTTACGTCATGATAATGTGCGTAACTCTTGAACACCAAGCACTACCCTTTTGCGCCCTTGGATATTGGCAGATGTCTTCCCTCTTCTGCCATACTTCCAGAATAACTATCCATGCCCACAGATGCTGACAGTTTATCTTAGCAACGCAAACGCGCCAAAATCTCCAATGGTGAATCTTCCTCGAGATCATTACAAGCCCGCGACGATAGCCCCTCCAGTTCTTCCGACGACGCCAGCGATGATGACGATAATAATAATGACAATGATGACGATGAAGAAATGACTGCCCCCCCTGGCACTCAGTACGAATTACTTCGCGATGCTGGATTCAAACATTTGGAACACACCGAACACGACGATTACATTGCTACTCAGCAACTTCTTGCCAAAAATCAGACCCCTCACACCAATTGTGCTGCCGAGAATTCCATCATCGAAGAAATTCAGTGTGTGAATTTCATGAACCATAAAAATCTTAAAGTTCCCTTAGGTCCACTTATCAATTTCGTCGTCGGGGAAAATGGAGCTGGGAAGAGTGCAGTTTTGACAGGCATCACACTCTGTCTAGGAGGAAAGCCTAGTGCGACGAATCGTGGAAGCAGTATGAAAAGCTTAATCAAGACAGGAACCGATCGGGGAATGCTTCTTGTCAAATTGAAAAATGAGGGTTCCGATGCCTACCGGCCAGAATTATACGGAAAGTCGATTATCATTGAACGTCATTTCTCTGGCAGTGGTAGCACTTACAAAGTGAAGAACGCAGCTGGTGGGTTTGTAACCAATAAGAAGGGTGATATGGATGATATAGTAGAGTATTTCCAGCTTCAAGTTGACAACCCAATGAATGTTCTGACTCAAGATGAGGCAAAAACCTTCATTACATCTTCTACCCCAGCCCAGAAGTTCGAGTTTTTCAGAAAGGGCGTACAACTCGAACAACTTGACAATGACTACAAGCTTGTTTCCGAGAGTTGTGATCAGATCGAAGTTCTTCTTGATGAAAGCATGGGTGATCTCGAGGCTCTGGAAAAACAGGCCGAGGATGCAGAGGCAAAGAAGAAGATTTATGATCAGCATCAAGACATGAGAGTTGAGAAGAGAGTTCTCAGAAACCAGTTGACATGGTTTCAAGTTGACGAGCAAGAAAGCGAACTGGAGGAGCGCAAAAGGACAGTTGTGGAAACACAACGAAAAATTGAGGAAAAGGAGAAGATTGTAGATGAGAAAGACCGAGCATATCAGACACTTGATGCTTCAGTTGAGCGAGCTTCCGAAAAGGCAAGAATTCTTGGAGAGGAGCTTGTCCCTATCAAAGACGAAGAGCAAGAAGCTAAGTCGAAGGCTGAAGAGGCAGACTCGGAGGTTAAAAAGCTCCACCAGGAACACAAGGAGAGTAAGCTGGAACTCGAAACAGCAAAACAAAAAGCTCGAACCATACAAGGGGAAATCGATGCCGAGCAGAAGCGTATTGAGGATGCCAATGGTGGATCTCTCAATCGAAAATTCACAGAAATCGAATCTGCTAATACGGAAGCTTCGCAGGCGAGAGCCGAATTTGAGAGGAGCCATGGAGAACTGCAAGTATTGGTAGAAAAGAGTCAAGCTGCCAAAAGTGCACTCGAAAAAGAGCAAGGGCCCTTGGCTGCGAAGAGAAAGGAAGTGGAGAACTGTAGGAACAGGCTAAGAGAAATGCAGAACGAACGTCCAGATCCAATACGCATTTTTGACCCGAGAATGCCTGAGCTACTTCGGAGAATAGAGCAAGATCAAGGTTTCGTTCAAAAACCTGTTGGTCCTATTGGTCTCCACGTGAAACTTCGCGATCCTAAATGGTCCGATATTCTCGAGGTAACTTTTGGTAACACCTTGAATAGTTTTGCCGTTACCAACAAACCAGACCAGGTCAGGCTACAGAAAATCATCTCCTCCATGGGTATACTTCGAACTCCAATTTACATCACGCCTCCCAACCCCATCGACACCACAAACAACGAGCCTGATCAGCACTTTATGACCATTTTAAGAATGTTGGATATTGATAGCGAAATTGTGAGGAATACATTGATCATAAATCAAGCAATAGATCAGGTGTTACTGATAGACGACTTAGAAGAAGCAATGCGCATCATGGAGCCTAGGTCTGTACCTACGCATGTTAGACATTGCTTCACTCTCAATCCACAAAGAAGAGGCTGGGGTATTCGCCTGTATTGCAATGGCCCCAACTATCAAAATAGTGCACAGGACTATGTGCCACCATACCGGTTCAAAGCTCGGATAAAAACAGATGGTGAGCGCCGGATTGTCTTGCAACAGGAAACATTGAAACACTGCCAAGCTGAAGAGTCGAGGCTTGCAAACAATTGCCGTACAGCTCAACAGCGTGTTCAAGAGGCAGACAGGGCGATCCAACAACACAAGGTTGCCCAAGGCAGATTAAAGATTCGCCTACAAAAGGCCGAAGAACGTGTTGAATCATTAGAGAATGAATACAATAACCTTAACATTGAGGATGGCTATCTGGATACCCTCAAAGCACAACTGGAGGAAGCGAATGACAATGTTACGCATTACGAAAATGCTTATGGCGCTACTACTCTCGCAAGGACCGAGTACAATACAACGTCTCTTGGCTGTAAAAATGCCTATAGAGCCGCCAAGAAACGTGTTGAAAGTCATGAGAAATTGATTGCCGACGCAAATCAGAAGGTCAAAGCCAAAGAACAGGCACGCGCTATAGCACTTGGGGAGAAGAATGCTGCTATTGCGCAAGTTGGGGTCTATAAGGATTACAAACGAGAAGCCGAAACCAAGCTCGCAGATACGGAAACTCGAGTGCAAGAATACATTGAAGCGGCAACGCAGATATGTGCCAGAATTCCAGTACCACCACATGAGACCAGAGCTAGTCTTGAAGCGAAGTACAAGAGTATTACGGATCAGTTAAGTCAGTATAGCAGAAAGCTTGGGGTCACAGAGCAAGAAATTATTGATGGCTATGCAAAGGCCCATGAGCTCTTGAAGAGCTTCAAATCACGCCGTAAACACATGGAAGAATTGCTGCGACTACTTAAGTATTCTTTCTCTCTGCGCATGAAGCAATACCGCAGTTTCCAGAGACACATTTCCGCCAGATCTCGTATCAACTTCAATTATCTGCTGAGTGAGAGAGCTTTCAGAGGAAAACTTGAGATTGATCACAAGAACAGATTACTGGATGTCCATGTCGAACCTGACGAGACAAGTAATAATAAGAAGGGTCGACAAACCAAGACACTTTCAGGAGGAGAAAAATCATTCTCGTCTATCTGTCTACTTCTCTCTCTCTGGGAAGCTATGGGTGCCCCTCTTCGCTGTTTGGATGAGTTCGACGTTTTCATGGATGATGTTAATCGGGATGTGAGCACTAAGATGATTGTAAGTTACAATAAGCTCTACTTACAAATTTCTCATATGCTAATGTGTCGATAGATCAGCGCTGCTCGACGCGCCGTTGGCAGACAATTTATCTTGATCACACCCAAAGCCTTGGGAGCTGGTATTGACAACAACCCTGATGTGGCAATTCACAAGTAAGTCTCTCGATCGCTAGTCCAAAGTCCATATCTTCCTACTAACATATGACAGACTTGCAGCTCCGAGAGACAGATTGCAGAAATCTATTCCCGAGACGATAAATCCCGCTTAATCCAATCTTACTGTCATTTGCTTCACTTCTAAGGGGCGTTTAGGACTTGTAAAATCACAGCGGGGGGAAATTTGGTGCTATGTCTTACGAAGATATGGCGTTATGGTGTTTACTGGTCCTTGAGTCCAGGTATGGTATTGCCCATGTGGCTGCTGTGGGTGGCAATCTTGATGTTAAAATAACATGAATCTGAATACATGACCTTATTGATTGATCTTGGAATTCCCTTCTACCATTCCTCTCCATGCTACATGAACATCAAAATCCATTCCCCTATCTCATATGAATCATCCACTAAATCCTCACCCCCTTGCTTCTCAAAACATTAACTCCCGCCATCGCAGTGAAACCCACCCATTGACTAATCCCCCCAAGAACTCCTCCAAGCACCTGTGAGTCCCTAAATCTCCTCTCCAAAAACTCGTGAGTGTCTTTGAACCCCTCGGATTTATCTGTCGTCATGTATAATTCGGTAGCAGCGTAGATGGTAGAAAGACTAGCTCGCTTGGTATACCAGGAACTGTCGACAGAAATATCGCCGGATAGAAACCAGATCTCGTCGGAGAGGGAATGCAGTTCGCGGAGGGAGGTGGGGAGATTGGTTGGTAGGGTGAGAAGACTTTGAGCCTGGGGGGGGATGTTAGTTGGGATGTCGATACAAAAGTTTGAGCTAGAATTTACGAACCTCCTGCCATTTATGAATCACATCTTTGTTTCCCATCAACCTCTCCCACGTCAATGCCTTGACTCTCCTTCCCACTCCTTTCGGTGGTTCTCTACCCTCATTTTCTAGAGGTGAAGCAATGAGTTCTGTGTGATTCTTCAAAGCTATTCTTTGGGTGTACAAATGGTAATGTGCTAGACTAAATGCCCCTTTAGGAAAAAGATTTGTGGCGGCAGGTATATAACCGACATCTTGGGCGCCGAGAGAAAGGGTATCAAGAGTGAAGCCGTGAGTAGGGATGTGCGGAAGGGAGGCGCGGAGAATGCTTGTTTCGGTGGGTGGAAAGGGAGAATCCGAGGGAGAGGGGCGGTCGTATGAATGATAAGATTTGGCGGAGAGAGAATTTGGAATTACACGATTGTATTGTTTGGTGAGAGGCCGTGAATGGCGGGGTAGTAGTTTAATTGTGGGAGACGACATGTTTGGGAGGTGGTTTGTGAGGATAAATTTTGGTGGTGTTAATAGTAGAAGATTTTCTAATTCAATACCTTTCAAGGTTCAGCTTGGGCCAACAGTTGCCCGTCCCCCGGGATATCCCGTTAGGCTCGTTTGTTTGCGAGCTCTACTTGGAGTAAGCTCGAGGTAAGTCACCCTTTTGCTTTTTCAACCGCAGAGCCTCGTTGATGAAGAACTTTGGCCGTCATCCATAAGCGGGTGAAGCAATTGTTGGTTAAGTTAGCCGTTCTTTTCGTATTGGTCTCCTTCTTTGGTGCGAATGCCCTTGCAAGGTTACCTTTAATCCACTTTTCTATATGCAGTAAGAAATGTTACTTACCTCTCACAGCACGTATGTCATGTTTTTGTTGGTGTCTTTCTCGTCACACTTTTCGTTACCCCTGGTATGAAATGGTTATTGTCTGCGCAAAGTCCCATTCGATGTGGATAGAGTCGGTCGCAAACGCATTGCGGCATGCAAAGTGGGCCTTCCCCTAGGGATGCAGCGGCAACATCGTATTGCATGAAAGGTTTGGTCTTATTCTGCAAGATACAAACGGGCACATGTGTACATATGATTGTACATATCAGGGGAAATGGACCTATCTCTATATTTTGATCTTGTTCTTCCAGGCCAGAGGAGCTGAAGTCGGGCTTGGAAATGGCACTTCGTGGTTGAGGCATCGTCTCGTGGACATATCAACTTGATTCTGTCGTGCTACGGGGAAGAGCTTCCGTCCGGCAAGCCATTTAAGCCCAGGTATCGTTGCAGATTTCAGCTGCAGGTCATCAATTTTTGGGAATCACCATATCATTGGCGTTTAGGCCCTCCGATTCAACGTTTCTTCCATAGTGGTAATAAGCATGCATGGGATTGCTCAAACCCCCAACAAGTGGGTATGATATGTTTTCGTTCACCTTGCTCATACGTTAATTGATATATTGAAGCGTGTTTCATGAAGACGTTTGCCGAGAGTCATAGCTCGTGGCAATATTGCATTTGCATTTCCATTTCTTTAGTTTTGTTCAATTGGATAAGGAGGACTGAGATCGCATATAATGTGTGAGAGATCCTAGGTGTAGATCGAATGAAAGGGCACTATTGGTGGATACCTACTCCCAGTTCAAAAGACTTCATTGGTTTGCTCGATCTGAAAGGAGGTTTGAGCTTCCTTATTCGATAAACTTGAACCAAACTTGATCGAGCCAATCTTCTCCGGAGTTCGTAGACTAAACTATTTTTGGGACTTGTGCGGGGGTCTGTATGTACGGTGCCTATTAGAGAAATGTGAGTCTCGTAGAAGATTGTTGAACTTCAAGATCTGTAATGGCCATTAGGTAAAAATGAATCCAGGCCGAGGCGATGCTGGAGATTCTTTAACCTGAACCAAATTGAGTAGCATGCGACAAATATCAGTCTGAATAATAGAAATAACTAATATGACCAACAGAGACGGTGAGTTGAGAGGAGTTAGTTATGGGTCCATTGTATCATATATACATGACTACTCGCGCCGTACAACGAGAGTGATCAGAAAGTACACACAATTCATGTTGAATCTAAGGGTCATCCACGGTTCCCCGTTGTGGTCCGGAAATTTCGCTAGACGCTGGAGGGGTGAGGGGGCCCATAATGATACGATCCATAACCAAAGTTAGATATTGAAGGTATGGAGAACAAGTGGTTCGCATGATTATACTCCATACGTCGACCTTCTCATTTCCAACTTGCAAAACAGCGAATCCAATGGCATCGTACCTCAGAGTCCGCTGTACTATAAAAACATGCCCAAGTGCAATCAATGCACGAGCGTGTGAGCGTGTGAGCGTGTGTCAATATGTCTTCGTATGCTGCCATATCTAGAAAGAATTGACCAACAGAGGATGAAGATGAGTGAGTAGAAGATTCAGTAAACAGCCTTACTATGTATGTATGGAAGATAGGTAAGGGAATGTACGGTACGATGTAAGAAAATGCTTCGGTGAGCGATTTGGTTCACTTTAGATAGTAGGTTTAGAAATAGAAATAAATACATATAATCATTTGTGATACTTATCAATATTTAATTACTAATGTCACACCCATGAATTACCGTATAGGGCTAGTATTTCTTATTTAAGAGTGATGATTAATAGATTGTGACTCGGCCTAAGCCAAAGATTGATAGAGAGATAGCTGCCGGTTATCAACCGAAAATGCAACACTTCCTGCGCGCTACCTAGCTATTTTTCTCCAACTCCTCATTACATCGCGTCTTCAATAGGCACTCACACCTTACACCTTACACCCAACACCCATCATCAAAACATCCACCACCTACCACCCAACACCCCCATCCATACAGATTTGAACCACACCATCTTTCATCTGTATTACCTCAAGGAGTAGTACACCCTTGTGAGCCATCTAGTCGGGTAAGGAAAATATAGAAATTTAAATCAAATTTTCTGTATCTCATCCTTCCCAACCCAACCATTGGTCAAAGCAACAGCCAGGTAAGCTCTCACCTATGGCTCAGATGTCATTCATTCCCAACCCACCCCCCAAGACATCCTCAAGTCTTGTTCTCCCAATCCATTCATCAGCTATTCTTCGAGCTTTGTCACCGCAGAAAGGACGCGTTCCAAATAGGCAGATCCAACCCTTGACATTCACCCACGATCTTTTTTGGTAACGCCCTTGTTGACGAACATTGCCGCAGGAAAAAAAAACAGACGCTGTGCCATACTGCCCTTGTTGTAGTTCTTCTTCCTTACGGGTCCCTATAAGCCGCATCGAATATTCTTCACGAAGCTTCACTGGTTCAACTTATTTACCGATTTCGATCAATTGAACGCAACGTTTAATTCGCCCTCACTTAGTCCATAGAATCCTTGTGCGCAGTCACTTAGGAGTCCATTTCGTCTCCAACCTGCAGGTTAAAGCATTAAGCAGCAGCAGCCTCCTGATTCTACTTATCACCTTAATACTTCACTCACAATAGATACAATGGGTATGTTCCCCAATACCCTCCCCTCCATTCCCAATTAGTCCATTCACCTTCTTCCTTATTCACTCAATTTGGTCTTGTTTTATTCACGTCATTGAAACCTTCTGACCTTTGATTCTTCCTTCACCTTTACACAAACCACCCCACCCCAATCTTGCTTCCTTTAGAATATTTTATTAACAATCTATTGTTTGATCTAGCGGACGACTCTTATCGACCACAAGTATGTTCAATTTCTTCTACTTCCTCAATAACCATTTCAGTATAACATTGCGCAAACCTGAGCGTCGGCAATATAAGGCAATCTCGAGAGCCTTATGAGTCTCCGGCTTATGGCATCTCATTTCCAGGCGCAAACTAGTCGTGAGATCCCGTTGATCGCAACGCGCCAGTGCGCTTTTGTGGAAACCTTTCCTAATTGATGGCGTAAGAACCTTGATGGTCCTACCCACACATACAAAAACTCTCGCACAACACAGATTTCCTCATTGTCTTTTGTCTATCTAATGGTCAAAGAAGCTTACATTTCACAGAGAGAGAGATCTCGTTCACCTCGTCGACAACGCTCTCGCAGTCCAGGACGCACTCAACGTCGTCGTTCATATTCTCCTCGCAGTCGCTCGCGCAGCCGTGACGAACATCGCAGAAACGATCGCAGATCTCGATCCCCAATGTCGGGTGCTGCAGGTGTAGGTGGTTCTGGGGGATCAGCTTACGGTGGACAACCACATAGGACATACGAAGAGAGAGCTGCGGCCAGAGAGCAAATGATGAGCACTCTACGTGAATCATCGCAACAAGACCGTCGTGTCTACGTCGGCAACTTATCATACGATGTTAAGTGGCATCACCTTAAAGACTTTATGAGATCTGGTCAGTGTTCGATAATGGAGGTTGGAGTTGGGGATATGGGCTAACCAGGGGTTCGATTTCTTTAGCTGGAGAGGTCCTCTTTGCTGATGTGTTATTGCTTCCTAATGGAATGTCGAAGGTGGGCGCCTATACGTGATTGGCTTTGAATCTTTTCTTTTTCTCTTGGATTTTGATGGAATGTTGGATTGACGGATTGGGACGTTGTTCCGCGGGTATTGTAGGGATGCGGGTAAGTACAAATCTTGACTTGGATGATCTCAAATGCTGACTTGAAATAGCATTGTAGAATATGCTACGAGGGAGCAAGCTCAACAGGCAGTCAACACTCTGTCCAACCAGAACCTTATGGGAAGACTCGTTTACGTTCGAGAGGTTAGCATGCATTCTATGCCGTTTCAACGGTATATCTAACTTTTACTAATTTTTGTAATAGGATCGTGAGGCCGAACCCCGATTTACTGGTACTCCATCGGGAGGCCGTGGTGGCTACGAAGGCGGCGGTCCACCAGGAGGTCGTGGTGGTTTCCAAGGTGGTTTCGGAGGTGGCATGGGCCCTGGAGGTGGAGCTGGAGGTGGAGGACGTCAAATTTACGTCTCCAACGTTTGTCCCCATCTATCTTTACCCTTTTATAACTCTAGTGTCGTGAATATTAACTTAGCGACTTAGCTTCCCTACACCGTTGGATGGCAAGATCTGAAGGATCTATTCCGCGGCGCTGGTATGTTTCCCTTCTGCACTAACACAAACGTGATCAAGATGTTGATCAATACTGCTTAGCCCGAAATGGTGCCGTCGTTCGCGCCGATGTTCATGTTGGTCCTGATGGACGTCCAAAGGGCTCTGGTATTGTTGCTTTCGAATCTCCCGATGACGCACGCAACGCCATTCAGCAGTTCAATGGTTATGATTGGCAAGGTCGCCCTCTTGAGGTCCGCGAAGACCGCTTCGCAGGTGCTCAAGGATTTGGTGGTGCTCGTGGAGGATTTGGCGGTCGTGGAGGCTTCGGTGGCGGATTTGGAGGCCGTGGAGGCTTCGGAGGTGGCCGTGGCGGATTTGGCGGAGGATTTGGCGGAGGTCGTGGTGGATTTGGTGGAGGTTACGCCGGAGGTGCTGGTGGATTCGATGGTGGTGCTGGAGCTCCCGCAGCTGCACCCAACCCTTTCACCGATCACGCTACCGCTGGAACTGAGAGAAGCGAGATTATCTATGTTCGTAACGTAAGTATCACTTGACTCCCCTCATGGTTTTACAAACTAATGCAAAATCTAGCTTCCATGGTCCACTAGCAACGAGGATCTTGTCGAGCTGTTCACCACCATTGGCAAGGTTGAGCAGGCTGAGATCCAATATGAGCCAAATGGCCGATCCCGTGGTACTGGTGTTGTAAGATTTGACTCGGCCGAGAATGCAGACACCGCCATTGAAAAATTCTCCGGCTATCAATACGGAGGCCGTCCTCTCGGTTTGAGCTTTGTCAAATACCAAATCCCTGGTGGTGCCGGTGATGCTATGGAGACAGAAGTCACTCACCTCACACAGGATCAAATCATGTGAGCTCGGATCTAAGCACACGAACTGGTCCCACACCTTACGACACCTTTCGCCCTTGTTACAACACACTTTTCTTTTATCAAGCTCGATTTTCTTATGTGTACTCAAAGATCTAACAACCAAAAAGTCACCGGAGGCTGAGAATTCTCTGCATAGATGAATCCTTGATTCATTTATCATAGAATTGCTCTACTATTTCGTTGCGAGTCCGGAGGTGGATATTATGCGCATTGCTTTCTATGTTTTCTTTCATTCAAAAGTCTTCTCGCAGAAAGGATCTAATAGCAAGTACAATGTCATTAGACGCCTGATACTCATAGCAATACAAGTCTATTTTTGAGATAAAGCCCTTTCCATGGATGAGTGAGCGTGAAATGCCATAAAGTAACGTCATAAAGTGTATGCCAACCGAGCAATGCTAAAAGGACATGATTGTCACCTTGTTGTTCTTGATAAACAATCACAAATACTCGAGGATAACACAATCACATGAGTCATTCAAATTCATATTTGAAGATGGTCGTGAATCATTAATCATCTCCTGTATCATATCTGATTATTCACTCTATCAAAAATGACTTGGATCTTGGTCATATTATATAGTTCTTGAAGTCTCCCCCCCTTGATCTCTTTTAATCGTGAATGTACAACTAATACCAAATCCCGAAATTAACTTTTTATTCTCCTTCAAGAACAATAACACATTAATAATAGAGACATAACGAGACTCACGACCACGATCACACTCATATAACTTCAAACATTTTCCTGCACATTAAAACTCACACATAATTATGTGTCTCATACGCCCTTTTCGATACACCTGCTGCGACCGAACCTACGTCGAAGTCTCCAAACTTGATAGCAGCTGTCCCGACGGATGGCCACTTGAGAAATGTCCCGAAGATCTATGTCTTGTACATGGTTCTAGAGTCAGAGATCAACGGTGGTTGCTTGAGGGTACATGTTGGAGATGTCAAGCCATGGGTGAGGGGCTTGAAGGAGACGATTACGAAGCTAGAAGACCACCTATCGATAATGCTTTTGTGGTTGAGGGTTTAGAAAACTGTAGTCCAGAAGGACGACGAAGAAGAGCTGAACACGCTGGAAATTGTTGGTTTTGTGGTGCGAGCAGTGATGGAGTTAGGGACTGCGAATCATGTGACGGAACGGGATGTGCACGCAAGGGCAAGAATAAAGCTGTCGAAGATGTGCCTGAATGCTCCGTTAAGAAGAAGCGTCGCACAACTGCTACTGTTGCTGGAGGAGGCATTTCCAAGCCTAGAAGAGGTAGACCACCTGGAGGCGGCAAGAAGAAGAAATTGGCAGCAATCAAAGAGGAGAGCCAAATGAATCTAATCTCGTCTTTTATGGAAGGCAATAACTCATATCGGCAAGCAGAATTTCGCCCCGATATTCCAGAATTCTCATACAACAACCATGCTTGGCAATCTGCTGAACAACATGGAGACCCCAACTTACCTAGTTACGGCATGGACGTTGATCACGACCCGTATGCAGGACAATCCCATGGCATGCCTGTATTCACAGATCGGGCACCACTTCACCAATACGACACCATGGCAGAGTACGAAGTGAACCCGCAACAAGTGGAGCGCTCCACAATGGGATATCAAGATCACCTCCAGTCCTCCATCGAATTTGATCACGAGGGATCACATAGTGAATCCAATATTGGCGACGGCGGTGAAGGAGTAAGGTCCGATAATTTAGACACATCTGAGGTACGTTAACATGACCCATATATGAAGAGACATAAACTAATAACCTCTGAATAGAATCAGTTTGTCTTTTCAAACGGCTTGCATCACAGTCATAATACTACCTTTTTGACTCATAATGAATGGCCTGAATATGCAGATAGTTTGACATTTTCCCCTTTGAAGGAGACAAACAATGAGTTCGCATCAGCTCATGATACGGGTATGCAATCCGCGGGCCCGGTTGCACGGGCTGCTCAAATGACGGTCGATCGGTTCACTCCTCAACCACGTTATTTGCCTAGTCCCACACTCTCAGAAGCTCATATTGCTCAACATGCTCCTCCTAACAATTTCATGGCAGCCTCAACCTCAACTCCGACTTCGATTTCCGCTGTAGCAGGCAATACATCTGCTAATGCTTCTCTCCCTATTTCGCGTATCGCTACACCTCCTTAGAGGATTACCATTATTAATCGGCAACATGTACTTACGACATACTTACAAATAGACCTATATCTATACGTACCAGAGTTCAGGATAACTTCTGTGTCATCGTTACGTTTATAATCTGATCTAGATACCCTTCTCTTCTTCTTCTTGTTACTATCTTTTTCATTCTTGTCTCTTCTCTTCTTCTTTAGTTTTCCTAGGCATGGAGGTTTTCAAGTGTTTCTTTTTCTCTATTTGATAGATACTGGCAGCGGGTGGATGGTTTCGCATAGACATGGACTTTGTGACGTTGACATAGACTGGGATGGATTTGTACTATAAGAAGATTTCTTATACGAATGGATTAGTAGATGCTGTGTTAGCTCATGAGCTGAAAGTGGTAGGTAAGCGTGGCAAGGGGTGGATGAGAAGTCAGTGACTTGTTCATATGTGGAAAGGGAAATTTGTCGGAGGAAATAAATGGATTGTTTATATGTGGAATGGGATATATGCTGGTGGCCTGATTTGTAAATATTCACAGGCCGAGGACGGGATTTCATTACCTGTATATTCATCAATGAACATATAAAACGTAAAAGACAGTTCCAGAATACAAGACGTGATAACTAGTTGTCATTCTAGTATAAAGGTTTGTGCAAGAGGATGGCCAAATATTGAATAGGTGGTTGAATTTAATCCTCGAGAATAGAGGCTCGACAACTTGGCAGACGCCTCACATGCCCTTTTGGCATTAGATTAGTATATGCTTCTTTATGTACCAATCCACGGAGGCCAAAGCAGCAATCCCATATATGTGACGCCATGCTGTGATATCAACAACAAAACATCCACGCCCTTTACCATGCTGTTCGGCTACTTCTCCGGATATATCGACATCCAGTCCAGGACACTTTATTCGTCCACCATAAAATGACTTCAATTGCTTCACTTCTTCTCGTCTCCTGGAGCAACAGCAGAAGTGGTACCTATCTTTCTTTTCTTTGCCTTAAGCTTCTCTTTTGCTTTGCTCCTATCTCTCTTCTTCAGCGCACCCATGCCACCTTTACATATTTCTGCATATCTAGCGAAGAAGGAATCTAATTGATCTGGCTGGACAACGGTGGATAGTTTTGTCTTATCTGAACGTTTAGATTTGCCCTTGCCATTTGTCGCACGGATGAGAAGTGGCATGGGGGCGTCGCGTGAAAAGTCTGGAAATTGAGCAGTGAGGACATCGTTGAGAGCATTCATGTCGACGTCGTCGCCGGGAGGTGGTGCTGCGGTTGTGGAAGCATCAGAGGCTGAGTCATAACTATCTATCATGGCAGTTAGAGACCTGTCCATGAAAGTTCGGAAAGGCTCCTCCATTGCGGGAGCATATGGGTATTGGAATACTCACAACATTTCTGTGTTAAGAAGACAGAACCATGATCCTTTTCCCGTCGGGAATCAAAAAGAGGAGCGAGTTTCGAGAAGAACTATTTGCGCAAAAGAATTACTAATTGCTCAAGGCTATATGAGTAGTAATAGAAACATACCTCATCATTACTTAAATGCGACACCATATTGTAAACTGTTGTTATGATGCTCTTTTTAAGCTGCGATCAATGATTGTGGGGGTGATGAAATGTGTGGGGTTCTAGACCAGGCTAAGGCGAGGCTGAAGATTTTCGTCAAGGCTATGGCAGGAAGAAAAAAGTTTGGATAAACCTCAAAATTTCTTATCGGTATCTAAAGATTATCAGATATTTTTTGTCTTTTGAAACAGAACTTATTATATTTCATGATTGAACTGTAATTGTTTACTTAGGAGTTGTAGCATTGACTGGCGATCCAAATAATCTTTTGTTTGTTACAGTATTTCACAAATATGGCACCGCCAAAATCTACAGTTCCAAAGCTACCCAGTAGTCTTCTTCAGCAACTGGGAATTGAAGGTAAATACTAGCCATTGATAACTCATTTTCATATACTTACAATTCCTTGTAGATAGTGGTGGAATTGGGGGTCGAGGGCGCAAACGTCTCGGGCGTAAAGAAATGCGCAAAGCAGAAAGACAAGAGAAGAAGCAGAGTAGATCCCAGTCCTCAAGGCCTCCTCCGCAAAAGCGATTGAAGTCACAACATCCCAAGCATAACCATAGCGATAGTAATGACGAGGAAGATGAAGACATTGAACCGTTGAATGCGAAGGTTATCCCGGAAACTAGACAAGATGATAGCCCAAAACCGAAATCCATACTGAAAACGACGAAGAAAGCAGAGCCCAAACCAGCGAAGGCACTCCCTAAGGACGATGCAAATACCAAGTCAAGGGTAGGAAAGAACATCCCGAGGGCTATCAAGGATAAATTGGCGGAAGACGACGATGAGATCGCCGCTCTGGAGAAGAAATTGGGATTGAAAGGGAAGAAGAAAGGTCTACCAAAATCATTTCAAGAGGATGGGTTAGATGATCTTCTGGGTGATTTGGATGCCTTAGATGAGAGCGAAGATGAGGAAGTACAGGAAAAGAAAAAAGGAAAAGCGGAGGCAGATGACTGGCTTCAGCGCAAAAGAGCAGAAGCCCGAAAGCGAGCAAGGAGCAATCAGAGCTCTGAGGATGAGGAAGAGGATGAAGACGACGAAATGATGGGCGATGATGGCGACGAAGCGTCTGATATGTCAATGGATGAAGGTGATTCCTCAGGCGGCGATTCAGGTGACGACGATAGTGATACTGGAGATGAGGATGCGGCTGAGAATGATTTTGAAGGGTTTGGTTCAGGGAGTGGTGAAGACGCTCCGCCAAAGCCAAAAGTCCGTGAAAACCCGTACGTGGCACCTGTGTCTGCGAATGCAGCTTCCTCTGGAAAATATATCCCACCTTCATTACGAATAGAATCTTCTTCAGATTCTGAAGATTTAGTGCGTCTACGGCGACAAACTCAGGGTCTGGTCAATAGGTTGACGGAAGCCAATCTAATATCCCTCCTTGGAGACATAGAAAAATTGTATCGGACCAATCCCCGTCAACACATGACTTCCACTCTCATCGATCTGCTCTTGACTTCTGTTTGCGAACCAACGACTTTGCCCGACACTCTTATAATACTCCCCGCCGGATTTATTGCTGCAGTATACAAGATTATTGGTACCGATTTTGGTGCTCAGGTAGTTCAAAGAATAGTTGAACTCTTTGACGAACACTATGCGCGGATAGTATCACTGAATCAAGAATCCTCGACATCCGTTCCCGATAGCAAGGAAACTACTAACCTGATAGCTTTACTTTCAGAGTTGTATAACTTTCAAGTAGTGGGTAGCAGTCTCATTTTCGATTACATTAAGCTGTTTTTAGATACACTATCGGAACAGAATGCCGAGCTTCTTCTAAAGATTGTGCGCATCTCGGGTCCTCAACTACGACAAGACGACCCTTCAGCACTAAAAGACATTGTTACTATGCTTCGACCTGCCGTCCAAAAAGCCGGCGGCGAAGACAAGTTGTCCGTGAGGACAAAGTTCATGATTGAAACCATCAATGATCTCAAAAACAACAGAATGAAAACCGGTGCTGTTGCTTCTGCTGTCACCTCAGAGCATACAATTCGAATGAAAAAAACACTAGGAACGCTAAATACTCGAAGTATAAAAGCTAGCGAACCCCTGCGCATTGGTCTAAAAGACATTAGAGATTCGGACAAAAAGGGGAAATGGTGGTTGGTTGGTGCGAGCTGGGCAGGCAATGGTGAAGACGAGGAAGAGTCCACATCAACAGTTAAAAGTACCAGAGAAGTTAAAGACGTAGATGCAGGGACCTCTGACCTCCTCCAACTCGCTAGAGAGCAACGTATGAACACGGATATTCGCCGAGCTGTTTTCATCACCATTATGTCCGCCTCAGATTATCAAGACGCATATCTACGATTGATGAAATTAAAATTAAAAAAGGTCCAGGAACTTGAGATACCGAAAGTCTTGATACAATGTTCCGGCGCAGAAAAAATGTACAACCCGTACTACACATTGATAGCAAAGAGATTATGTGGCGATAGAAAACTCAAGATGGCCTTCCAATTCAGTTTGTGGGATCTTTTCAAGAAAATGGGCGAAACAAATGACGACGATGATGAGGATTTTGAAGAGGATACTGAGCTGGATACGAGGCACATTGTCAATCTGGCCAAGATGTTTGGTACGTTGATGGCAGAAGGTGGACTTGGACTCAACGTTCTCAAGAATCTGAATCTCAGCTATCTACAAGCTAAGACGAAAACTTTCTGTGAGGTTCTTTTTATCACTATTATTCTGCAAACTCAGAAAGCATCGAAAGAGAGCCGAGATGCTAAAGCAATTACAAATCTGTTTTCGAGGGTGAAGGAAACGCCTCAAATGATAACTGGGCTGCAATACTTCTTGAAGAAGGTAGTAGGCAAGACGGATATAGCAGGAGGAGGGGCTGAAAAGGATATCGTCAAATGGGGTTGTAAGGTTGCTGGAGATACACTTCAGGCATTGCTTAATGCAGATACCCCCAGGTAGGTAGTGGATTGCGATGTGGTATTAGTAGCTAAAAGATGGCATCCGTTATGAATTAGCTTTGCTCCGTGCTTTCATGTAACTAGTAGTGAGTGAAGACACGGGCTGGACACTATAATGATTGTATCCCTTAATTATTTTGGCACTTCTCGATGTGTAAATTAGCAGTGATTAATTAGTACCTTTCTAAGCCGAAGCAACCCTTACAAGTGCCAAATTGATTGTCTTTTTGGGGCTTCCTGGAGACTTCTAGCTTACACAATCAAGCGGCACCGGGAACTCGCGGTTGTAAAAAGGGTTCTAAAATATCTCCACGTGATTATCGGATCAATCCGCTTCGTCCGTCCGGTAACTAAACAAACGGCGGCGACCCTAAAACTTGTTGAATAACACAATAATACCCTTCATACAAAATGCTTCGCAGTTTATTAGTGCCCAGAGCGACCGTCAGGTCTGCTTTCAGACAAAAATCCTCGTAAGTGCAATGACCAGACTTCAATTCCTGCTAAAAGTTTTCTATACTAACTTTTTTCTGTTGAAGCAGTCTTCCCAAGATAGTTGCCCCTTCAGGTATTGCAAACTTATCGCGACGAGGATATGCCACTGAAGCTGGTCAGTAAATCCAATCGATCTCACAGGGTTAAAACAACTGACGTGTAGAAGAGGAGCAAGATTTGGTTATCATCGGAGGTGGTGTTGCAGGATATGTTGCCGCTATCAAAGCTGGTCAAGAGGGCATGAAAGTATGGTTTGCCTAACAGGAGGAATTTTTTTTGCAGACTTTTAACATTGTCCGCAGGTAACATGTATAGAAAAACGTGGAACTCTTGGAGGAACATGTTTGAATGTCGGCTGTATTCCCTCGAAAGCTCTACTCAACAATTCGCATCTTTACCACCAAATTTTACATGACACCAAAGCTCGCGGTATCGAAGTCGGAGATGTCAAGCTCAACTTGGAACAAATGATGAAGTCGAAAGACACTGCGGTCGCTGGACTCACAAAGGGTGTTGAATTTTTGTTCAAGAAGAACAACGTTAAGTACGTCAAGGGTACTGCTACATTTACTGGCGAGCACGAGGTCAAGGTCAACCTTTCAGAGGGTGGAGAAGAGACTATTATTGGAAAGAACATCCTTATCGCTACTGGTAGCGAAGCTACACCATTCCCAGGACTCGAGGTTGACGAGAAGAGAATCATCACCAGCACAGGAGCTATTGCGCTAGAGAAGGTTCCAGAGAGCATGGTTGTTATTGGTGGAGGTATTATCGGTCTTGAGATGAGCTCTGTCTGGTCAAGACTTGGTACGAAGGTTACAGTTGTTGAGTTCTTACCTCAAATTGGTGGACCAGGAATGGATGCCGAAATCGCAAAATCATCGCAAAAGATCCTCAAGAAGCAAGGCATGGACTTTAAGCTCAACACTAAGGTTATGAGTGGTGATGTTACTGGTGAGAAGGTCAAGCTTAGCCTTGAGGCTGCAAAGGGTGGCAAGGAAGAAACTGTACGCTAAATCTACTAAAATTTCATATACACGCTAACACCTTCTATAGATTGACGCAGATGTCGTACTCGTTGCTATTGGACGAAGACCATACACTGCAGGTCTCGGATTAGAGAACATCGGTCTCGAGACTGACGATAAGGGAAGATTGGTCATCGACTCGGAATACCGGACCAAGCTGCCTCACATCCGAGTTGTAGGTGACTGCACCTTCGGACCTATGCTTGCCCACAAGGCCGAGGAAGAGGCTGTTGCGGTCGTTGAGTACATCAAGAAGGGATACGGACACGTCAACTACGCGGCCATCCCATCTGTTATGTACACACACCCAGAAGTTGCATGGGTTGGCCAAAACGAACAGGAGCTCAAGGCTGCTGGCACCAAGTACAAGACCGGCACATTCCCATTTTCTGCAAACTCAAGAGCGAAGACCAACTTAGACACCGAAGGTATGGTAAAGATGCTTGCCGATGCTGAGACTGATAGAATTCTTGGTGTTCACATTATCGGACCAAACGCCGGAGAGATGATTGCAGAGGCCACATTGGCTATTGAATATGGCGCATCAAGTGAGGATATTGGACGCACGTGTCACGCACATCCAACTTTGGCAGAGGCATTTAAAGAGGCTGCTATGGCTACCTATGGCAAGGCTGTCCATTATTAGAAGATGGTTAAAGGTGGCGGCGGCGTGATTTGACAATGAATGGCGCGATCATAAGCATGAGCATGAGACTGAAATTTGTGATTCGTGTAAGATATGGTTACATAAATCGTGTGCAGTACTCATTGATAACCTATGAAACCCTAGAATTTCTGAATAATCCTCCACTAACGCCTTCCTATCTGTGACCTCTGCTTCCTCTCATGATCTCTGTTACAGACTTTAACAAAATGAAACTCAATAATGGTATAATCCGTCAACGACAACAAGCTAGAAGGTAAAGCTCAAATCCGATATGCAAGCCGATTGTTTTGTAACCCATATCTTCCGCCGTGATGCCTTGCATCTCTCATATCTCTCACTCCCCCAAAACCACTAAGAGCACCCAGACTTCCGAGACCACCTGCATTACCCAAGCCACTCAATCCACCTGCAGCTCCTAAACATGTACCTGAACTAAGTAGTCCGACATCTCTATAAGGACTTCGCCCGAGTCTACTGGGAGACAGATGGGCATATCTTCCTGTATTATGTCTATGGGCCGTCCGTTAGCACAATTGTTGTTGTGACTTTGTGTCTATCGGTGAACTATCGAACTTACAACTGCTGGGTAAGAGGTTCCATGTTCATACTTGAACACCTTCCATCACCCCTCGCATACCCTCTCGCGCTATTTGTATAGGAGTTCAAACCACTGTCGCAATGCGGACATTCGCACGTGGTATAGTACATATCTTGGATCTGAGACTGTGAATAATAAGACTGAGATTGGAGTGCATAATATTGAGCTTCGATACAAGTACGGCAGTAATGAGCGCCAGTACGTGGATCATCTTCGCAGGACTGGCAGTCGTTGTATATATGAGTAGAATTGTGGGAAGGATAGGTGCGTGGGACGATCAAAGAATGTGCGAGCGCGTTTTGGGGTCTGTGTGGTGTTTGGAGGTAGATTGGGTCGACGTGGGTGTCTAATTGGCAGAAAACATTGGGATTATGTTTGCGGAGACAAGTAAGATTCATTGTGATAATGGTGGAAGACAGAAGGATATTTGGAAAGATTAGGGTGTAAAATTTGAAAGGGTAGTGAGGTTTGCAGGGCTACAATAACGTTTATTGAAAGGTTGCTGGATTCTAAAGAATGAGATGGACATTCAGCGAGTGTTTTATACTTGGGGGAAAGAGATACCCCCTCGCTGTGAAACGATGGGTTTTGCCCAACAGAATGAGGCTTACACTCATGTACAACCGGGAATATTAGGAGATAACAATGAAGAAAATTCTATATTGCAGTTTATGTGACGTTTAGATCTGCTCTTCTTGGGCAATAGGAGATTTCTGATAGGTATACTTGAGGTTACACGGAGGTTGAGGATATCAAGCAAACATAGTCTGTAATATCGCCGTATGCAATGCCACTTCCGAATAAAACAGCGATTGGCCTCGGGTGAAGCAGTGATTGCTGGGCTTGTTTAGAGGAGCCCCTGGAGAGGGGGGGTAGTGGCGGTCTCTAGCTCAATGGGAGATAGGAATGCCTCCTGGCCGCCTTAGAATGCAAAACTTCACCTCGGTGTACGAATGCGGGAAGAGTTGAAACCCCAACCCACGAGCACAATCCCGAGGGGCAGTGTTTGGGCCTAGATATTACTGAGATGATCATGATGACTGCTGCATGTTTCCAACGAATAGCGATTGCTTAAGCAGTAGATAGCAAGTACATCCAATCCAGACATTACACCCGGTAAAGTGACAATATCGACACGTAAATCGCACTAGCTGATACACTAGAGTACAGCCGAACGTGTACTATTTCTAGAAACTTCTGAAATCATTCGATGTAGCATGAAGGTATTCAGCTCACTGCAACAGGTCACAATGAAGTCGCTCTCAGTGTCACTAGGGGTAGGGTTGCACACGCAAGCAGAAGACTCAAAACCCAGCAAAAAAAAAACTGCACAAGGGACCAACCCATTGTCGCAGACGAGACATCTGCGTTAGACCTGAGGGAAACGTAGAATCTCATCTAAGACCGTCGCCGTTGCCGTTGCCGTCACTTTTGTCAATATCCCGCCGAGCCTTTTTGTGAACCGGCTCTTCCACGCTATGAGCTTGACCTACGGAGACGATTGAAACGGTTTGCATCAATTCTCATGCCATGCCTTTATTCGTATTTGACCTACGGGTGAGAGTTTCTCCAACCCACTTTATTGCAGATATATGGGTAAATGGGGTGACCAGGTATCTGCACATCGAACTGCCTTTTCATAGAGTACCTGTGGACCCTGGACGATGTCATTCATATATAATCATCTTCGGAATGACCAGCAGGAACAGTATCAAGATTATCTTGAGGTAGAGAGAATGCCACAAAGTGTCAGGTCGAATGTTAAATGGGAGGGTCAGAGTGTTGATTTGGCTGATGTTGAACCTTCATCGATTGGTAAGCCTGTCCCACAAAATTAGGGGCCAACAAAAATCCAAGCCCTGCCACTCGTTCAGGGATTGGCACCACTAGTGACTATACACCGCAAGTTCTTAGATACATGTTAGACTCTTAGACTTGGTCGTATAATCAATCAAAATCATCGAATGTTTATTCGACACAACCTTTTTTGAGCGTCAATTGATTGATTGCTTTTCACACCTACAGTTTTTCTGTTAGTGTACTATCGGCTTCTGCTTATCTGTCCCACGAAACGATCATTTTACAATGTCTTCCTGGAAGGCCGTAGCGGCCGCTTCTAAGGAGAAGATAATATCTCGCAGACAAGTCGAAGGTCTCATCGCAGATGGCAGGTCAATCATTATTGTTGATCAGGCCGTACTCAAAGTAGATGCTTGGCTGAAATACCATCCCGGAGGAGACAAGGCCATTAAGCATATGGTAGGAAGGGATGCAACAGATGAAGTAAACGCGTGCGTAAAGTAACAATCACTCTTCCGAATTCATCCAAACTGATAGATTCTCTATAGTCTACACTCAGCAGAAACTAGAGCCCTTATGGGAAGGTATCAAATCGGCAAAATAGAAGGTCGTTGGAAGAACTTTGTCCCTCCAATACAATACGGAAAGTTTCGAAGCTATGTCGAAGACATGTCCGACGATTCCGAAGAAGACGACAATACTTACGATGAAAAATCGAGCTCTGAAACGTCAAGACTCCCCTCGCCTACATTCGATGAAGATTTCTCAGAAGTGCGCAGAAGAGGGTTGGCTAAAGAAGACCGCCCGGTGTCCTCTGCTTCCTCCATCTCATCTGCGCCTGACCTGGACGATGGCATGTCTCACTTCGATGCATTGACTCGAGAACAAATCGACCTAGACCATGCAAAATATCCTTCTTTAGATCCTGATACTCAAGAAGAAATTGTTCAGAAGTACCGTCTGTTGGATCAACGGATGCGTGCAGAAGGTCTGTATGACTGCAATTACATTGCATACGCAATTGAATGCTGCCGATATACTTTTCTTGCAGCTATGGCATTCATGTGCTTGAAGTGGGGCTGGTATGGGACAAGTGGGTTGTTTCTTGGTTGTCTATGGCATCAATTAGTGTTCACGGTGCATGATGCAGGTCATATGGGTATTACCCATAACTTTACGATCGACTCGCTCATCGGCATTGGATTCACAGACTTCATTGGTGGTCTATCAATGGGATGGTGGAAACGTAACCACAACGTCCATCATATTGTGACAAACTCTCCCGAGCATGATCCAGACATTCAGCATATCCCCTTCTTCGCCGTTAGCCATAGATTTTTGAGCTCTCTGACCTCAACTTACTATGAAAAATGCTTAGAATATGACGCATTCGCGAAATTTCTCCTTCCGTACCAATCATACTATTATTATGTAGTACTTTGCTTTGGTCGATTCAATCTCTACCGCTTGTCCTGGGAATATCTTCTCCGGGGCCTTGGGCCAAAGAAAGGCCCTGCATGGTGGCAACGATGGCTAGAAATTGTCGGCCATGTTTTCTTTTGGACTTGGTATGGTTATGGAGTTGTCTACAAAAGTATTCCTACAAATGGTGCCCGAGTTTTATTTGTCATGATCAGCCATGTGGTCACTATGCCAGTCCATGCTCAGATAACTCTTTCACATTTCTCCATGAGCACATCTGAGCTTGGCCCTCATGAGTCCTTTCCACAGAAGATGCTACGCACCACTATGGATATCGACTGCCCACAATGGCTTGACTTCTTTCACGGAGGTCTTCAGTTTCAGGCTATTCATCACCTTTTCCCTAGGATGCCTAGACACAATCTTCGCCGCGCTCAGAAGCTTGTGTTAGAATTCTGCAATGAAGTGGGCATCCCATATGCACTCTATGGGTTTGTAGACGGTAATAAGGAAGTCATTGGTAGGCTGGAAGAAGTCGGTAGGCAAGCTGCAATCCTAGCTAAATGTCAGAAGAGCATAGTAGAGAAAGGCGATATTCTTCATGGGCACTAGATAAGTCGCAGAACGGCTGCAATACATTATTTTTTACTGCAATATATGACTCGTCTGATCACACGGAGCTGTGGGTTGGCACCGCTTTTCTATGCATTGATATACCGTTTGGAACTGTAGAATCCCGTCTCTGATTTCACAACTAGTCATTGTCTAACGCTTCGCGAAGGACCCTGCATACTGCAAGCGATTGAAGACGCAGCGTCCAATTTCATTCCATCATAATCTTCCGGGATATCACTTTCCAGAACATTTACATTAGGCCATTTTTATGATTAATTATCGTCATATCCAAATTTCAGACACTCGGCCCGATTTCTTAATACAGGATTATGCAGTGACGATTGACTCGGGTCATTTGAGAATTCTTCCAGTATACGGAAAGGTACTTGAGGGTGCAGGTAGGAATGTGCCCGAGATGATAGACTGGAACCTCACATCATGGTTGGTGATATATTGTCCATGTTCGCGACAATTGGGGACGGTGAAGCTGCTTCCTGCGCACACACCCGCTGAAGTGTTGTATGCCAAGTGCAAGTCATTGGAGGAAGCGAACGAATAGGATTGTCGCTGATATGTTACAGCATCAGGCTTGCGCAAAAGTTACCAATTTTGGTATATTTATGTGATTAAAAGGCTGCGACAAAGAGTAGACGGACAAGCGGATGAGAAATATTGAGACGCGCTGCATTGGGATTTAACATTCGTACAAAGCTCCCAATTCACTCTACAGGACTCTATCTACAATTTCAAGCGAAGTCTACATATAACTCCGATGCCCCATCCTTTCGTTGAGACCAAATCTCTCAATTCTTTGGACCTACACTAAAGTGTGGAACACCTCTTCAAATCAGCCCACTGCCAACTACATATTGTCGAAGTCCATCACCTCACTTGAACACAGGGATGGGAAACCGCCATATGACCCCCGATGCTGCTGCACGTATTGCAAAGTCACACCCTGGGGTAAGTTTACTTGCGTAACCCACGCTAGAATATCACAATACTGAAAGTTAGTCTAGTCAGGATTTGCCAGAAGATCTGCTCGAGCAGGTCATAGTAATAGCGAACGTGACGCTAAATCTCAATCTGCATGGGACAGCGAGATGCAAGCTCAGAATGGCGAAGGTGAAGCATCGAGCGGTAAACAAAATATGAAGGCAGATCAAATCTCTGTACAAGACGGACAAGAGCAAGGTACTGGGGGAGAACGATGTTCATATTGCATCTCGGAAGCCCTTTGCGCCCGTCATGCAAGCAAGTGGGGCTGGTAATAGGAGGCGAACGTTGAATGCTGCCCGGTTCACTTCAGGGTCATCCTAAACGCTTTGAATCGGATTGTTTGCCTATGGTGCTGTGGTTGTTTTTCCCTCGTACGACGGATCATCCTCATTTCAAAACACGTTTCGTCGCTGGGATCGTAGATTCGCTGCTGAATGGGAAATTGATAAGATCTATGGGAATTGGCATCTCAATATCCATGCCAAAGTAGCTCAGCTGTTGTGATTCGCAATGTTGAACACAATGGGGAATGCAGAGGCAAACAACATAACCTGGCCCCTTCAAGTTCATATCAACTCTTGATACCTGTGATGATCATACATGCATGGACTGCCTAATGAAGTCAACAATCTTCCTATAACTGAGAGTATCCTTGCCGATGTAGCACAGCACCTTCTGAGCTTGACCAAACTGAAGAATCCGGGAGAGGCTGCGATGAAGTTGACTCCTCCGCATGAAGGCAACAGGTCGAGATCGACAATTCAATATCTGCTTTCATTTGAGACTATGGACAAGAGATTAGAAATCATAGCAAATACCAAAGCGATTCATGCTGCATTCTTGCATATATTCCGAATTCTCTTACATCACGGCGGTCGACTTCAATTCTCATCAACTTATTACTACCAGGTACTCACTCACGTGTAAGCTTTGACCATTTACATATATATGCGTATATGCCTAGTACTTATACATGAATTATGAAGCGATTCTGAAGCAATTCCAATGTTGCGTCGATGGTTGTCCCAGTCTCCATAAATGTGTGCGTAGGTACTCAACTTAACTGAAAACCTGTATGTAATCTTATTACTATGTATACATTGTATGTGTATGGTGCATTTTTTGAAAATAAATACCTCGATTGAATCTTATTGTTATCATTAATAATTACGAAAATGCTCGACTGTCGTATAACAAATAATACTGTTTGTCCTTTATTTGAAGGCACTCATTGTGATTGGGTAGAGCCTTCTATTCTATTGAAGATCACAGACTCCTCCGTCATCAAGCTTTCCTGCCTCGTCGATAACTTGAGATCCACATCCACAGCCTCACAACCAAACAACGAATCTCTTCACACCACAAATCCTTCACTTGCAATACAATTCAACATACGAACCCTCATCAACCACCATTGCTGATAATCATAGATTAGGATATCTCACCGCCTTGAAACAAATTCGGTGTTTTCTGTTCAGCATCCGGCTCCTTCGTGAATACAGCTCACGGTGCACCCACCATTCACTCATGTGATATCCCCGTCACAGCTAGCTATCCACAGATCTACCCACTCACTCTCTTCGCCATTCTGCTTTGCTCTTGCCTTGCGATATGAGAAAGAGATATTGAGGGACGGTGTCATCGGAGCAAATTCTTCTCAGGTAATATGAACTTTTGACCTCACCAGTAACTCAAGATGGATCAAAGTATACAACGTGCTTTGAATGATAAGCTTTACGACAAACGGAAAGTCGGCGCCTTAGAGTAAGTTTGATGAGTACCCTACATGTAACAATGTATTAACGGATATCCACAGTCTTGAACGGGTCATTCGTGATCTTACAGCTGCCAAGGAGTTTGATAAAATCAAAAAGATTATCCAACAACTGTGTAACGATTATGCTTACGCTGTCCACCAGCCGCATGCCAGGAATGGCGGTCTCATTGGTCTCGCGGCGGCCGCTATTGCATTAGGTCCGGTATGATACAGAGTTGTGTTGGAATTACATGTATCGAGCTGATGTCTTTGATAGGACCTCGCAAGATACCTTGATGAAATTGTTCCACCAGTCCTCGCCTGCTTCACAGATCAAGATGCTCGAGTAAGGTACTATGCGTGCGAAAGTATGTACAATATTGCCAAAGTGGCAAAGGGTGAAGTTTTACCTTATTTTAATGACATATTCGACGCTTTATGTAAGGCAAGTCAAGCCCAGAAGCCCTCGAAAGGATTTTCGAACTAATGGCCGAACAGCTAGGAGCGGACTCAGAACTCTCCGTCAAAAATGGTGCAGAACTTCTGGATCGTCTGATAAAGGACATAGTATCTGAATCTGCAGCTACCTACGTATCGATTCTTCACACTTCTGATGATTCCATGTCCGATTCTAATAAGGAAGCCCTTGAGGATTCCGATGATCTTCCTACAGCCTTCTCCCTGGCTCGCTTTATACCTTTATTAAAAGAAAGAATTTACGTGATAAATCCATTCACGCGCACCTTTCTCGTGGGGTGGATAACTTTATTAGATTCTATTCCAGATTTAGAACTTGTTTCTTTTCTCCCCGAATTTCTCGGTGGGCTGTTCAAATTCTTGAGTGATCCAAATCGTGATGTTCACGTGGCTACTCAAGGTGCAATCGAGAGATTTCTTAGTGAAATAAAGCGGATTTCACGCATCAAAAAAGGTATAGAAGAAAGCCGAAAATCTCGCAGCGACACCAAACGAAAACGATCAGGTTCAATGGACAGCGAAGGATCGACGGCACCAGATCTAGGTGGAGATGAAGACTCAGGTATGGATGTAGATGACAAAGACGTCAGTAGTGACGACGACTGGGTTCCTGGTCAAGATGTTCACGTAAATCACAAAGAAATTCTTGTTATCCTTACGGCGAATCTGGACACTCCATTGGGTAAGGATAAAGTATTGAAATCTGTGACCCAGCCAGCTGACACCAGATAGAAGAGGATAGCTTACTTGAATCGCTAAGATGGATTGTTGAATTTCTAGACATCTGCCCTGAAGAAGTCCTTCCATTTGCCCCAAAGATATTGGCACATTTACTTCCAGCCATGGCTAGTGGGGTGGATACCATTCGACAAGCTGCCGCTCGTGTCAACACATCCTTGATGGCTTATGTTGTGTCACTCTCGGATGAAGGTGGTGCTACTTCAGAGGCACCTTCCTCAGCTCCTTCGAGATTTCTCGCCATGAAAGAATCAAATCCTACCGAACGAAGGGATTCCTCCGCTACAAATCGTGGCTCCTTGTCCGGATCTCGTGAGCTTGATAAGAGAGATATAGAAGTACAGACACCCCCACCTCCGTCTAGCAAAACGCAAACACCTACACCGCCATATCAGGCACATGTAGATCTCGATTATGCTGCAGCTGTCAGCTCATTAACGTTACTATTTCTTAATGATCACGAAGTAACCAGAGTTGAAGCTCTAAATTGGTTGCTCATGTTACACAGGAAAGCACCTAAGAAGCTGCTCGCATTCAATGATGGAATATTCCCTGCTCTTCTTAAAACACTCTCTGATCCATCGGAAGCCGTAGTGACTAAAGATCTCCAACTATTATCTCAGATTTCGAGAAATAGCGATGATGACTATTTTACTTCTTTCATGGTAAACTTACTTCAACTATTTTCTACCGACAGGAAGCTCCTCGAGACTCGAGGAAACTTGATCATTCGACAATTATGTATTAATCTTAGCGCAGAGCGAATTTACAGAACACTTGCGGATTGCATAGAAAAGGAAGAAGATGTCGAATTTGCAAGCATTATGGTACAGAACCTTAACAATAATCTCATAACTGCACCGGAATTAGCAGATCTTAGGAAAAGGCTTCGGAATATAGAGAACAAGGTTCGTAATATCCATAGATTAACAAAAAGTCACCTGCTAATGGCTACATAGGATGGACAAGCTTTCTTCGTTGCTCTCTTCAGGTCTTGGTGCTACAATGCTGTAGCTACCTTCTCACTTTGTCTTTTAGGCCAGGCTTATGAGCAAGCATATAATCTTCTTCAGATATTGTATGCATGAGCAGTCCGCCATCGAAACAATACTAACATCAATAGTGCCGAACTCGAGATGACGGTCAATATGCTTATCCAGATCGATAAACTTGTACAATTGCTAGAATCACCTGTCTTCACATGTAAGGTGGCTATCTCAACCCCCAAATATTGCTAATCACCCATTCCAGACCTCCGCCTCCAACTACTTGAGCCCGAAAAACATCCTCATCTTTATAAGTGTCTTTACGGCCTTCTTATGCTGCTTCCACAATCCTCAGCCTTTGCAGCATTGAAGAATAGGCTAAATAGTGTGAGCGCAATAGGCTACCTGCACATAGCACCTCGAGCGTACGTACCTTCTTCATCTCGTAATAACAGTGTAGTGGACGCGTTTTCTACTTTTGCTCTCCATCAACGTCAAAAGAGTGGCACAGAAACTCATGGTTCTTCTCCTTCATTTAGCGTTCAGACGACTGCAGCACCGTCAAATTATGACAGGAGTAGCAGATTAAAAGGCAGGGAGGAAAGTGGTATCAGATGGGGAGAATTGCTTGACAAATTTAGAATTGTACAAGAGAGGGCGAGGCGGGCCAGAAGGCCTGGTGGGGATATGGAAGATGGATTGAGCGGCTTTGAATCAAGGATGGAGAGTGGAGAGAGTAGGGGTTTCAAAGATTCGACGAGGCTATCTGGACCGTCTCCAGTATCTAAAGATGCGCCAAGTGGAATCCCATCCGGACCACAACATGCGAAGTCGAGGAGTAGCCTGGGCAAGTTTGGGAGATTGGGAGGAGCGGTTGCGGGGGGTAGACCAAGGAAGTGACTATAGGATAGATGAATAGGCGAAGAACATACAAATACTTATACTGGAAAGTTTGGTATTTTGATACAATGGGTATAATATGAAGCGCAGTTTTCTGTTTTCATGGTTTCTCTCTACATTGTAATCACCATCTGCTCTCAAATACAGTCCTCTCGTCATTGAAGACTTCGAACTCCTAGTATAAAGCCATGAGCTGTAACCATCTTATCAACATGCAATACATTGATCTTTTACGTCTACAATCTCATGCAGTCACTTATCTCTGAGAGCAATTCGTCAGTGCCCCGATCAATCCTAAGATGTGCGATATCTGAGCGATATTGGCAAGGACGTGGAATACTTGGTAGCTAACACCCTGCATAAAAACATTAGCTTTTAAAAGCTTTAGAAGTCTCGTCTTGCTTACCCAAATGTCAAAAACTCCTGGTCTACATTGCTCTGGAGTTTGCGTAACACTATCTTGCCTGGTATATGAGCAATTTTGTCGTGTAGTTTTCCAATGCCTGTTAGGGTCACATCTTAAAGCAAGACACTAGTGGATGCGGTTTGGCTTACTTTCATTATGGATGTTTGGATAGGTGGATAGGTGGATGGCCTGAGATCCTGGATATGAGTTGTGGTTATTTACGTGAATACATCCAGGAAAAAGATGTGCAAGGAGGCTCTTGCAAGGGAGGGGGGCGCCGAGAGAAGGAAAGTATCCGGATTCCGTTCAGCTGACCATTCATTGTGAATATCTCTACCAAAACTATAGTTCTAAAACCCAAAGAGGTTCTCGAAAGCCGACTTACGATGATGCACATCTCATTTTCCTCGAAATCGATACCGTGGGAGTAACTTCCAAATGGTCTTGTCAGTGCATAGTACATACTGTATAATACTATTGCTAGATCACTTACTGACTTGAATAATACATCTAGGTACCCAGTGTGTTGTCAATGATGCGATTGATCTGTGCTCAATCGCCTCTCTTTGCTGCGCTTCTTCTTATGGAAGAGGGGAGTCACGAACCATAGAAGTTAATGATGGCATGTAAAGCTGATCAGATATCTTCGTGGATTCCCAAAACATTCCCTAGCTATCCTTATTCGCTTGCAAACCAGTGGATTTCGAACAGGCTTTCGAAGCATAAGTCACCCCTGCCGAATCCTCCCTCATGCGTTTCACTTCACCAACTATTGGCTGCTCCGTTCGACAAACCATCAGTTTGTAAGAACTGTGAAAATCTAGATGAAAAATTTGTCTATCCAGATAAGAATACAAAAATCCTGCTGGATAATCACCCGAAAGCTTCTAGAAGTTATGATTAAAGGGTTAAGAAAATATAAGTCTAAAAGTAGGAATTATTTAACAAGCGAAATTCCCAAGCGAAACATAGAAACAAAGACCAAAGTTCTCTAGGTCATTTATAACAAAGTTATAATTTCAAAAGTTGGGAAAGTTGGCAGCTTATTATTTCCGCAAATCGTCGACCCTCGCTATCTTTTTCTTGTATATCATGTACAGAAGCAGACTGGTTACTCCGAGTAAAAGCAAAGACAGTCTATTCTCAGAGGAAATTGTTGATACACTTCTTCACTCATAGCTATAATCACCAAAAAAGAAACCCTAAAAGATTCCATTTCGCTAAAGCCAGACTGCCTCTCCATACCCCACAGCTCCCTCGCACGGCGCTACTCACTGGAACCATCTCACATTTTGCCACATACTCTCCGGGAAGCCCACAGCTCCATTCTTTGTACTTCCCGACACTGCGCCCATCTGCCCTGTTTTGGTAACCCTCACTCCCCCATAAACTCGTCATCAGATAATAGGGCCAAGCACAAAGCCCTTGAGTTAAGAGCTCAAGTGCACTCCTTAGTGGCTTAGCCTCAGTTAGCACCCAACTGGAATGATCTGATTCCCCAGTTTCTCGATCATATGCCTCACGATCTTTAGAAACAGAATGAGAGCCAAAAACCATGAGTACGTGCACCACATGACAGCCTGCGAAATGAGCGTAATATTTTCGTTTGAGAAATGGTTGGGCAAGGAAATTTTTGACGATTTCATGAATGTGAGACATGTTGGATGCATAGTTCAATCATTAGCTTAAAACTTGAAGAGGCCTACGGGCTTTCCGAATTCAGTAGGTGTACTTATCAACCTTGCCAGAATCATGACCTATGACTTAACTATAGCTCCTCAAAGCAAATCGCATAACAAGGTACTTCCCGATCAATACTTTGGAGTCACGACAATATGGTCACTGAGACAACAAGCAATCGTCGCCAAAATCACAGGCTACGTATCATTCTTTAACTATGACACAGGCAAGCCGGCAAATTTCATCGAAGTAGGAGGAGTGTATAAGGATTTGTATGATGTGTTAATGGCGCGTATGGAAAGACAAAACGAGATAGCCGAGTGGTGAGAAAGAGGACCACCTAAATAAGGTGGATGCGAAAATTTGAAAGTGAAATCACCAGGTCATAGAGCTGTTGCACGATTCACAGCATCAACAACCCAAAACCTTTATCGATATGTATTTAGGGTATCTATACATACATCTCCTCAGTCTAAGCTTTGCCCGCCATCTATTTCGTCTCATCATGTGTTCTCTTGGTACCTTTGCCTGTAAAGTATGAAAATTTTAGCTTTCTATTCTCTTCTGAACAATGCTTATTGTACCAAAAACAACGCAAACGCAAACGCAAACTTCATTCAATCATAGAAATGCAAAGGTAAAACTCAGAATAACTCGCAAATTTGTTTCAATGCAGGGTGGGTAATCTAACTCTTAACCAAAAGACTGGATCCAGTCATCTCCTCGGGTTGCTTTAAGCCCATAACTTCCAAAATCGTAGGTGCAACATCACCTAGAACGCCTTCATCTGTTTGCTTGAGAGACCAGCCTTGGGGAGCGTTGGCCATAATGAATGGTACTTTGTTAGTTGTGTGGGAGGTCTTTGGTTTACCATCGGCAAACTTCATTTCTTCGGCATTACTAAGACACGATTTCGTCAGTATGATTCGTAGGAATAGAGCATTATAACGAAGACCTACCCGTGATCAGAGGTGATAAAAAGAACATATCCCTCCTTTTTGCAAGTCTCGTAAATCTCGCCAATGGCCTTATCAGTAGCGGCAACACCAATCACTGCAGCTTCATAAACACCAGTGTGGCCAACCATATCGGGAGGTGCAAAGTTGTTCATAACGAACTCGAATTTTCCTTCGGAAATACGCTTGCTCATTTGCTTGGCAACACCTGCAGCACTCATTTCTGGGGCTTTATCGTAAGTAGCAACACTCTTGTTTGATGGCACGAGATCTTGCGATTCATCTCTGACCTCAAGAGGGAATACCTTCTCGACGCCTCCGTTGAAGAAGAATGTAACGTGAGCGTATTTCTCTGTCTCGGCGACATGAACCTGGTTAACACCTTGAGCACCGAGAGTCTCGGCTAATACATTACCCATGTGTTGGGGCTTGAATGCGATTTCGAATGGGTAATCGAGCTTGTACTGGGTCATGGTAGTAAGAGTGATGTTCTTTGGGTAGGCGAAGTCTGGTTTTGGCGAGCGGTCAACGTCACCAAGAAGTTGGGTGATTTCTCGGACACGATCGGATCGGTAGTTGAAGAAGAAAACTTGGTCGTTATCTGGGGATATTAGTTTGATTGATTAGGTTTTTGAGGATCTTGATCCATTTACCTTGGATACGAGCTTCCTTTCCTCCGACGATAATGGGCTTTAAGAACTCATCATTCTCGCCTTTCTCATACCTTTCCTTAATTGTCTTGACTGGGTCACTGCTCTCCTCTCCTTCGCCGTTGCAAAGACCGCTCAATGCAACTTCGACTCTGTCCCATCTCTTGTCACGGTCCATAGCGTAGAATCTGCCTACCACCGTCGCGACCTCACCGATTCCAATCTCCTTGATCTTCTCAAGAAGGGCCTCCATATAACCAGCGCCGGATTTGGGATCGGTGTCACGTCCATCACCAAAGAAGTGAATGTAAACATGTGGAATCTCGAGATCCTTTGCGACTTTGAGGAGGGCGTACAAGTGATCTTGCTTGGCGTGCTATTGTCACTCGAGTAAGTACTGTATTTGCCTATCGATTGGACTAGGGGAATACCTACAACGCCACCATCCGAGATCAAACCACAAAGGTGAAGGCGACCATTACCATCCTTGGCTGCCTTGAATGCCTTCATAACAACCTCATTCTTGTTCAGCTCCCCCTTCTTAATTGTTTGATCAATTCTGACAACATCCTGCCATACAACTCTTCCGGCACCAATATTTAAATGTCCGACCTCCGAGTTGCCCATGAGGCCCTCTGGAAGACCAACTGCCAAGGAGGATGCCTCAAGCTTGGTATATCCATCTGCGTTATTGGCGAAAGCGTCCATTACTGGAGTTTCGGCGTTTGTAATCGCATCTCCATCTTTGGGTGAATTTTCACCTGGAACTCCCCAACCATCAATGACAACTGCGCCAAATCATTACAATTAGCCATGAGACTTCAAGATACACAAGTATATAAAATAGTGCAAGTATGTAATCTGGTCTTGTCTTTGTACGAGGTAAAGGGGGTAACAGTTTCTCAGTATTGAGCTGAACAGTTGGAATGGAGGTTCGAGGCATTGCGTGCAAGTCGCAGTATGTGCATGCCAAATGGATAGAATGAATCAACAGAGTCCTTTGGGACAATGGATAGATACATCAATAGATTGAGGATACGTGGAATCTTTTGACGTACTCAGGACAGCTTTGTTTTCGACTTGGACCATTTTGGCGAAATGAAATGTTTCGAATCTAGTAAATATAGGCTATATCAGCTCCAGCTTCGCTACCACCAAACAAAGAGCCTTGTGACCGAATCTCCTTCTAAGAGAATGAAAGGGGTATTGGAAACTTAATAACAACTTACAAGAGAAAAGACGAATTTATAATCTATCGATATATTGGGTATGTACAATGAAAACTTGAAGGGGTTTTGAATGACTTCAGAAGTAAACAAGTGAATTGTTGAGAAATAACTCCAAGAAGCTTTTTTGCGCTTGTGGTGGGGTGATGGATTTTAGGCCCCTCCAGTACCAAGTCGTATTTGTGAAACCGCCGCGATAAGAGCGAACCTGCCTTGCTCTTCTTAGCTAGCACAAGGACTAATCGGACCTCTTCACATCCAATCAATAACACATACACATCCGTCGGGATACCTTTAAAGCTTTGGAGATACCTGAGAATCTTCGACTCGGGTCCAGACCATTAACTTTGGTCAACGATACGAAAGCTTGTCAGCTCCACGATCGTTGATTTAGTAAAGATGACGACTACTCCATCGCAAGCCACACCTTCTCAAAACCCTCCGACAATGATTCTCCCTGAGGGCCTCACGGCAGATTATATCGACACAATCCCCGTTCTTTGCGAAACAATTTCTCGTCTTCAAAACTTCTCTCCAAGCAACCCGTCCGCAGCTTCCCCATCGGGTGCGACTCCTTCATTCAATGCCAACAGCACGGGGCCATTGAATATCAAAGATATTTATGCTGCGACCGATGGCATCAAACATAAATTACAAAAGGCGAGAGTGGGTGTAAAGAGCATGCCAGATATGCATAGGACTATTGAAGACCAGGAGGAGGAGATAAGAGAGTGCGAAGAGAAGATTGCACAGCAGAAAGAGGTGTTGAATTTGTTGATGAAAGTAGGATTGAACATGAAGAAAGAGCGAGAAGAGAGAGGATCAGGAGACAAAATGGAAACTTGAAGGAATGGATAGTCTGAAAGAGGAAAAGAGATAAAACATAGGCGAAAGTTACCCTTATGTCGAGGAACATGTATCATAAAGAATGAGGCTCAACGGACCCAGTCGGGTGCTTAGCTCATGGATCATGAACACCTTGTGAGGTACGCTAGGTTTAAACCCTTCAAGATTGAAGAGGTTTTTTTGAAGCATTATCATGGGCCAGGCCTTGAATAGCGCGAGGATCGTCCAGGAGTCTTGCAATGAATTGAGGCTCGTGTTTAGCAAAATGCACATATATCGTTATTGAGGTGCAATGCTAGCATGGGTTACATACAAAATCAAGAATATGACATCAAAAAAGAAACTTGTTATTGCTCAGCTACCCCATTACCTGAATGTTCATTGCATCTCCATCACTGACCAATCTGCATCAGAAGACTATGTACTTCGAGGAGATTGATGGTAATTATCGTCCAGTAAGCCCAATCTTCTTCAGTATATCATCAAGTCCAACTCCGGGTCCTCCTGGTATGACATCTGTCCAAATTTCCTCTTTTAATCTCTCATCTTCTGGTAAGATGCTCCAGTTCGGACTATGCTCTGCTTTAAGCCATTTGAAGTCATCAACCTGATCCCATTGATTCTTGACCGATTCATCTGCAACTTTCTAAACATATTGTCAGTGTGCTGTAATGAGTAAACCCTATGACAAAACTTACCTGCGAATTTGGGATAGGCGAGAACCTCACATTGCTACAGTCCTCAATGATGGGCCTGCTAGCACAATGCAGGTATATGTCAACATTTTTACAATCATGCATTCTGACTTGTCTTGACGTGACAACGATTATACTATCCTCGACGCCGGTAATATGTGCTGCTCCCGCAACATGTCCGGCTATGACTAAAGAATGCTTGATATTCTTCAAGGAAAGCCCAGCAAAAGGAGCACCGTTGGCCGTTGGGACTGACATATCAACAATACACCCATTAAGTTTTGTTATGGCACCAGATGAGGTTGCACGGGATGCTGAGGAAGGTAGGATGATGTGAAGACCAGTATGACCTGTAATATTGATGGTGCTTGCTTCTGAGAAACTCGGCTTTCGAATTGGACCAGAGGCAGTGGCCATTTCGGCATTGTAATTCTTTGAGAATGAAGGCAAATCTCCAACGATATCTCTAGCACTTTCCTCGCCGGGTGGTGTCATCAAATTAGCTGGCGTGGTTGCCATTGATGATTCAGTAGAAGACAACATAGAAGCCTTTAAAGTAGCGTTAAGACTTTCCTGAGCTAGCTGAGCGGCATCATTGATAGAAACAGCGGAATTGTTCTTGCTTGAAGTAAACCGGAATCTAGTTCTTGGTGCAGCCTTGGCTTTCGCCTCTTGAAGGTTCTCCGAGAGACCTTTGATTGCCTGGTCATCATTAGTACAGGATATGCATCATCATTCTTCCAGGAAAATGCTTGCCTGCGAATAAGTTCTCTGGTCATATGCTGGAAGGTAATTCGTAGCATCGGCGACTTCATTAGATAGTCTTGTGATACTGGCAAGGCAGTGATCTGTAGCATCTTGCCTTTCTCCTCCAACTAAGGAGAGATTCCCAAGCTGGCTAATACGCTTTTGAAGGTCTGTCAGAAGGTTAGTAATTTCAATTCGATTAGTCGAGTGGTTATCGACTTCCCTGTCACTTCTTCTTGGAAGTGTCGATAGAATCGTTCTTTCACATCTTGAGACGATTCTGTTGGTTGATTGAACGAAGCACGAACAGCCGGCATTGTCTTCTCCATTATATTAAAAGCTTTATTGTATAGAGAAAACTACTGTAACACTATATGACAGGTCTTCTCGCCGCCAGCAAACAAGATTTGTTATTTCTAATGTTTTGATTCGCCACCGAGATTGGGTCAACTGATTTCACCAGTTGGTTGAAGGGGTGGAGGCAGATGACTTGATGTTTCTAGCACACCACTTCTCGGCTGATACCGAAGCCGTACAACCTTACAGTGATCTCAAAATTTGTAGTGAAGGTATATGAGAGGTTGCGAATCGTGCTTACTTTTTTGGTAAAGATAGAAGGACTGCAAATTTGTAGGAAATACTGAGTCTATAAGTATGTTTCTCAAAAGGTCGATCGATGAGGGGATGGTTGAGGGCCACAGCATATTATTGCGGGGTTAAATAAACAGTTAATATTTGCCGGCAGTAGTTCAATAATTCATCACACACGTGATTACAGATCAGAAAATAAGAGCTTATGAAGGCTGTCCTTGGTCAAGTTTCAAAATTGTGTCTAATCTAAGAATTATAATGATTTTGTGTACACTCGGATGGATGTTGATAAAGCTTCTCGTTGTCGATGAATTTTTATCTCCGCCGAATGTGCTGCCTCCTGCAAAAAGTAAAACCCTCGAAACTGCTCGCTCACGCATTGGAGCGTTGTGGATCCCCTCTCAATAGTTATGAAGTTGAGCTGGACAGTATCATGAAGTCGCCATCAGCCCGTAAGCGTGGAAGGCAGGTCTTCATGTTTCAAAGAGCTGTAACTCTAAAGTGATTTGCAAGCCCTAAACCTATGTACATCGTTGTTCGAAGCCTCCGGATTATGAATACAAGGCCCTTCAGGATCTAGCTGGTACTTCAATACCATATCTTTCCTTGATTCTCTCCCTTCTTCTCTCATCATAACCTGGTCCGTATATGCCTTCAAGTAATTAGTTGGATGCCCTTCCAAATAAGTAAAAAAACATACCTCTTCCCTCTCCCAATTCCGCTACAGTCTGTTCAACAGGTATCCTTCGATTCTTCCTCAAAAATTCCTTGCGCTCAAATTCATCGACGTTTGGATCTCTCTTATATCCCGTGATGGCACCGCCGGTATAATCGAATGCACTGAGCACAACCGCAGCCAAAGTACCAAATCCAAGAACCGCAGGAGTTGTTCCGACTATCGATGAATTAGCATCATTTTACCGCTAAATTTTTCGCATCAGAGCCCACATCGTAATCCTAGAACTGATCCTGCCAAAAATCCTCCAATTGCGGTGTTGTAAGTATCGTTCTTCTCTCGCAAATTGGCAGATGCGTATTTTGTGAATTCATATGTTCCTCCCATCGCAGCTGAAAAAAAGTCAACAAGATGACGATCAGGGTATTCGATGTAATGGGCTTACTGAATACGAAAGCTGTGCCTCCTGTCCTGGTGAAGACACCCATCATGCCGATATTCTTCTTGTACAAACTATTTTGAATGGCGGAAGCAAAAGCGCCAGCCGTTCCTGTAATCAGTGCGCCGTTGATGCCTGCTTTCAGGGCATCTTGGGGGTGGTATGCTTCACTATTCGGTGCCATGTTGTGACAATACGGAACGTCAACGATGGGAGTTAGTTAAAAGTTTAAGAAGTTACTATGGCGTCCGTATGAGGTTGATAGATTCGGGGAATTTGAACGGAATATGCCGCTATAAACGCTGCCACTAGCCGCCATCCAATTATTTCCGTCATCCCCATCATCTAAGCTCTCAAGCAACAAATATGCAAAGGCGGCAGATAATCCCATCAACCTTCACCCGTGCCTGTTTAGATGAGAAATACATACAAATAAATACATATTGAACCAACGCAGTTGATGAGAAATTGTACAAACATTTCTGTTTTCCTTTAAAATCATAAAACTTGTCGATGCTCGCGTTCCTATTCTTTTGTTGCTTGTGTTCCTCCTAGCCAAATTTGGAGAATCAATCACTCACCATCACAATCAAACAACCAAACAACCAAACTTACATTTAGTACCTGGATTGGCACAAAGTTTTTAGCTCATCTTCAATCTTTTCTCTAGAGGAATCTACTTCGAATGCATATTGATTCTTTCAGCCTCAATATCAGTTCGCCTTTACAACCTTTCGAGAGGCGGGGTAGCTAAGCAAGTCCAGAATATTTCAGCTGGCCATAAATCACATAGTATCTGCAGGTTGGGTGAGCAATAGATAATTATTGAGAGGTGCTATGTTTGACTACGAGAAGAAACCAGGACCAGGCAAGTTTTGCGACTTATTTTCTTTCGAACGAGATAATTTAAAGCTCTCGAATATACTAGAACTTAGCTAATGATTCTGCCAATGTAGGGAAGACGGCCCCTAGGTTAGTGGAAGATCTACTTGACTACGATCTAAGAAAAAGCGCAAAGTCCGGCAAGCACACTCTCATAGAACCGGCGCCAATATACAACGAATCCAATATTGACCCAAGGCTCCATGCCACCAATTGTCACCATCAGCTTTACAGAAAGGATTCTCAAACGGATGTTCTACGCCCACACGAGGAAGCCGATCCCACAACAATCCGCAAGATAGCTGCGTACTGTTCCAATTGCCGATATCATTTTCGGATAACTGTAGATTTCCGAGGTTGGAAAGATGGACAAACTCCTTGTAGTCCCAAGGACCTTGAAAACCCACTCCATCACTTTCGAGTAGTTGAGACCAGATCGTCGCAGAATTCGAATTATATCTTTGAATTTGCGGCGCATGAATTTGCCTGCACTGCGGCTACCTGTCCAGTCAAGGTTGTCATCAAAATAACGCCACCTAGGCTCTCAGCTGCCATGATAGCTCCCTTAATAAATGTCAAAGATACTCTGAGTCGTGGGCAGAGAATAATTGAAAAAGAGCCCTTAAGATTCACAGGACACAGGCCCATATACCCATTTCAGGTTCTTAGTAATCTTTGTCAGTATTTAAGAGACGCAGGAGGTGCGGATAGGAAGGCTATTGCAGCCAGAAACAAAAGGTTCAGATTAGCATTCGGAGACGATTGTGACTCTCTACTAGGTTATCTAGGATTCAAATCCGAGCTAAGGGCATTGTCCAATTCCCAGGTATGTACCTCATCGACATAATACAACTTATGGTTCAGAATTCAGCTCACAAAATTCCTTCTACAATTCATTCGCATCACTAACTTTCGTTTCAGGAGGAATATGAAGGATTCTGGACTTTGCCTGTCGTCAATGACGGGAACCGTGAATTCATAGACGATGTCAGGTTTGAGCTCAACCAGCTCATGCTTGATCGGCCAGATGTGGAGCGTATGGAGCTTAAGTCTTCAAGTGAAAAAGCCTTTTCTCCTGCCTATGCTCTGGATGATATTAGACGATTACTTTCTTGCGATGACTATCCAAAGCGAGATGCTGCTGTAGTCGTAGATTCGTTGGAGCACCCTTATTATGCCAGTTTAGGCGCAATCGAGCTATTTACGGATGATTTGTTAGCCTGGAGCTATGATCGACAATGTCAATGCGATCCGGCGAACAAGCCATACTATTTAGACTGCCTGCGGGAGCTCGGCAATGGACGCCGCAGTTCCGATCTACAAACGAAGGCTACGATGATCATGTCTACCGGAGAAGTCAGCCTAAAGGATATCGAAAAAGCTTACTCCTTCTTCGCGCTCCAGAGAAATACTACCAGATCTGAGGGCGATGACTTTTTGATCGGTGTTTACAAGTCTCGTATCGAAGCTGGACCGCGCCAAAAAGATGAGGCACGCGAATGTCTGCGCGTGATAGCAAAGGATAGGCAGAGCGTTGCCATTGAAGCCGTAGCGAATGATAGCACAATGACATTTGAAGAAGCTCTCGAGTTCCTAAGCGTGACTTCAGATACTGCATCTGATAGTATTGAAGCTGCTGCAGTTGCTATGGTATGTGTATAGTCTTGAATTAACAATCATTTGAAGATTCCCAACTAACTCCAAGGTAGTCTTTTGAGGGCGATAAGGATAAAGTCGCAAAAGCTTTAAGAGCGATTGCTAACAACCGCGGAGACGATTACACCTTGCAGCGTGCGGCTACGTCCATGGAGTCTGGAATTGAAGATTCAAACCTTGACGTTGGTGAAGCTTATAATCGACTTCAAATTACCGATAGAAGGGCTCCAGATGATACTGTGCTAGCTTATTACGAAAGTCTCAGATCTGGTGCTCCTACTGGTTCATCTGATAGCTACAAGGAAGCATTTCGGGTAATAGCTCATGATCGTCAAAGCAGTTACTTATTGAGGAAACTCGATGATCCAAACGCCGACATTAAAGCAGAAAAGTCAACTGTCAATCAGCCAATCGGTCTAGATAACATCGGAAATACTTGCTACCTAAACAGTCTTCTGCAGTATTACTACACAGTAAAAGCCGTTCGAGAGGTAGCCATGAACTTTGAACAGATTCGCATGCCTCTGAATGAAGAGGATATCAAGAAGAAGCGCGTTGGAGGACGTGCTGTCAGTAAGGCGGAAATTATCAAGGCCCAAAATGTAAGTATCAAATCTTTTGCCCAAATAGCTTGGCTAATTATAATTAGTTGTGACGGAATTACACGACCTGTTCGAAAATTTGAAGACGGCTTCAACAAGATCCATCAAGCCTACTAGAGAGTTGGCCGAATTGACTATATTCAGCTCAGCAGCCGAAGCAAATTTCCGTCGAGCTTCTATTAGTAGTCCGAGTGGTCCATCAAACATTGCTTCCATGATGAGCCCCATTTTGGGGCCGGAAGGTCCTCCGACAACTACTTTTCCTCGTCCAACTCCAACTGATGAGGATATTGAGATGGTTGACCGACCTGAAGATAAAGATTCAAATCAGCGTGATGATAGTAGTGAAGGTACATTGGTAGAGGCACCAGACATGGATGGTTTGCCTCCGTATCCTGATGTTGTAGGTAGACCGAGTCTAGCAGCAGACAAGGCGTGGGTCAAATTAGAGGATGCCGATAGTACCTTCGATGATGCTGTCATGGTCAATGGCGATTCAATAGTTCAAACTCCAGATGTCATACTAGCCGCGCCAGACAAGCCACCTCCGATTCCTCCAAGAAACAAAGCCGGCCTTTCGATAGAGACAAATGATCAGAAAGAAGTCATTACTGACGACGATCTATGGAAATTTGGATCTCAACAGGATGTTACCGAGGTTATCGGAAACGTGATGTTTCGTTTACAGTGTGCTATAAAGCCGACAAGTATCGATCCTGTGTCTGGTGAGCAAATCGATAAAATCAGAGACACATTTTATGGTGCAAATGCCTCCTATCTTCGAAAGTCGGAAAAGTTAGAGAAGAAAGTTGAACCATGGGCTAATCTCATTATTTTTCCGGATGAAAACAAATCTCGAGACATTTATGAAGCATTGGATGTGGTCTTCGACGAGCAACAGGTACACATTGATGGTACTATTCAACCCCAATATGCATCTATCACCAAACTACCTCCGATCTTACAAGTACAAATTCAACGTACACGTTACGACAACGTCAAGCATACGGCTTATAAAAATCGAAACGCGGTATTATTTCCAGAGACGATATACCTTGATAGATACATGGATTCCGAAGATCCTGACTCTACTTTGATGCGTCGTCGTCAAGAAGCGTGGAAATGGAAGGCACGTATCAATACTTTGGAAGAGCGACAAAGAGTCCTCGGACAAGACAAAATAACAGAAGAAATATCTGTTTGTGATGCACTATCTGCAGCACAGAACTTTACTAGAGGTTTGCAGGAGATGGACGACATCGAAGTTGACGCAAACTTGGTCACATTGCTTGAAGAGCGCCAAGCAGAATTAAACCAAGAAATTGAAAGAAACAACGAAGAAATTCAGCTTCTCAAGCAAAGAAGAAACGAACAATTCACGAATATGACCAAGTATGAATATAAGCTTCAAACTGTATTTATTCATCGTGGTGAGGCTGGTGGTGGCCATTATTGGATCTACATCTACGATTTCGAGAATGATATCTGGAGAGAATATAACGACGAATATGTGACGGAGGTGCGTGATCGTCGAAGAATCTTCGAACATGAAGCTGCTGGTGCAAGTGGCACCCCTTATTATCTTGGCTACGTACGAAGTTCGGATGTCATAGATTTGGTGGGGGCAGTGCATAGAGAATTGAGAGAAACCGAGGTACCTACATCTGCACCTGCAAAGTCGTGGGCAAACGATTTAGAGGATGGCATTAAGGTGCGTCATGATGAGGACGTGGAAATGGGGGAGTCAAATAGCGGAGGCTTCATAAATCCGAAGCATATGCATAAGATTATGCCGAAACAAGATGTAGAGGATAAGACGGGTGCCGCTTCGCAGCTATCCTATGATAGTCACGGAAATGCTTGGTAAAATTTTAGAAATGTGGGCAGGTGAATGAATGGGTAGATGGATGGATGGATTGGGACTGGGAATGGGAGATAATGTCAGATAGCCTGGGAAGGGGAGCATGCATGGAAAATAGGAGAGGCAAATTTTTTGACATTGGAAAGCTTGCCATTGGGTAGGTATGATACGATATGATATGATTGATGAATGGATTGGGATGGGATGGAATAGCATGATATCCATTGCTTGCGTGTGTATGCAGCTTGCTCATTTATCCTTGATTTTTATGCATTGCATGCATATAGATGCATCATGATGCCATCTGCGTATGCTTTTTTTAACACATGTTCTGTTTGTATGAGCACGGCGCAACGAGCATTGCTTGGTTTTTAGAGAAAACAAGAATATGAATACAAAAAAGATCGAATTGCAATATAGTTTTGAACCGAGACTAGGAGCGGAACGAAGAAGGGCTGGTGTACATGTAAACGAATGAATGACAGATGAACAGGATGTAGTAAGTAGTTCTAGTCTACAGTAAGGACTTCGAATTTCTCGAGTATTTCCTTTAATCTTTTCTCTCATTTCTCTATTCTCTTCATTTTTATTCTCTTCCTCATATTATATATTAATACTTTACTCAGAAGAAGAGAGAGATATTTTGTTATTTTATTATATAAGTTATGAATTATGTATATGATTATTTTATTCGCGATCATATCATGATACATAACTATTTATGATATCAAGATTTATGTATATATATAGAGAGAGCAAAGTTGTTTAAATTAATTAGAAGAGAGTAAAAACTATAATTACAATTATAATCATAGTAACAGCTCGCCCTGAACCCTTTCTTTTCTCTCTATATCATAACTCCTCTATGATCTTTGATTAAACCCTCACCATTTCATTTCGATTATTATGTTCGATGACTCGTTGAATTATTTTTCTCCTTTTTCCATTTCCTAGCGGAAAGATGAATGTTTTCCGGTTGTGAGGAAGGGTCCTCTTCGAGTTTTAGTGACTCTGCTCTCTCTCTCTCTCTCTCTCTCTCTCCTAGATGGAATGGAGAGATTTTTGAATGATTGGAGATGGGTGGGAAGATGGAGATGTACACCTAGGTACTCTTTTAAGTGAAGAAATCACTTATGCCCCCCCCCCCCACCGGACATCATATCAAATCATATCATTCTACTTCCGATTCCGTATCATTGTCTAATTTCAAGTTTCAAATCCGCGCTTATTCAAAGATTCGAGATATTAGGAATACCTACATTTCTCCCGAGTAGGTATGTGTAATGTGATATGATATCGTATAATGTATGTATGCATACGACACACAGATTACAAGTTCGCATATGTATCCGCGTCCCTTCTTTTTTCGTCTCTCCTTCTTTAGTATGGGGACGCAAAAATGTTCTTTCCTTTCTTTGATTGTTTTATACCGGTATTATACGCATGGAATATGCTGTTGTATTGTAGTGTGGGTATGCATATTCTCTACCTTTTACTTACCCTTCTATTTTCTTATTTTTTTACTTCATCACTTGGTTCTCGTTTTCTCCCTTGTTCTCTCTTCCTCCTCTCACTCTCTCCTCTCACATCCATTCTCCAACTCCTCTAAAAAAAATTCCCCTTTCTTCTCTCTCACGTATTCATAACCCGACCTCATTCTTCTGCTCCTCTTTCCCCCCTCTTCATAGAAAACACAACCACATTGTCAGATCCCCACACCCACCCTCTCACTCACGATTGTACCGCCTCATCATCCCATCATCCCACAAATCCCACACAGCAATACAAATACCAATTCAGATACCAAATACCAAATACTCAAACACCAAATATACTATCCAACCAATCCTACCAAGTTCCAACTAGTCAAACCCATTCAACCAACCACTCAATAACCCATGCCAATCTACCCACCTACCTACCTGTCCACGCAAACAAGAAAAGATCCGTATATAATCCGTGAATTGATCGCACATAGTATATATATCACATTTACTATGCTATAGGCTGTGTGCCTATATGCTTGTACGAGACGATAACGTGTACAACTACTCCGCATAACTACTTCAGTAACTACTCTAGATGACGACTCACCCACAACCAGGTACTCTAGAAAATAACTACTCAACAACAACTACAACAACTCCACGACAATAACCAGATACCCTACTATTCACCATCCTTCTACATTCCACTTTCCGAATACCTCCCTACCTCCCGACACACATAATCACATGATCCCCATTCTAATTTCTCTCTATACAGATGTTCAACTAGAAAATCACCCAATAAACCCAGTAACCAGGTAGTACTCAAACACCCCAATTCATAACCCAATTACTCCCGACCCGATGAATATTCGAGATAGCTACTCTAGATAGATGATTGTTCCATATGATCTTAGTGACTTGGCGATAGTTGTTATCGATGATTATTCTAGATGATTATTCTAGACAACGACCTCAGACAACTACTTCAGATACACTATCAAGACTAGGTCGACAGTCACCTACCCACCTGACGTCACAACATCCAACATCCAACATACCACAACACTTCAAAGTTTCCATAGCAGAACCAGGAGAGCAGTAACCTCATACAAAAATATGCTTAGAATCTACACCTACCGAATCAAGAGCCCAGCGCTCGTAGAGCACATATTTATTCTAGCTACGCAAAGGACGATCACATGACGATTGAGGTTCCAATTCCGTGAACAGATAGAGATAGATACATCATGTGAAATATCAAATCTCCAAAAGATCAATCCATGATATCATTTCAAATTCAATACATACATACACGCACCTCTCACAAAACCCAGCAAAAAATACATCATGTGACATGAAAGGTAATGATACAATATTAAAAAAAGTATACACATGTACTGTAAAAATACTACTACTACTGATAATAATAATAATAATAACAATAAAAATATAAACTCGAAAGAACCTCAGGAATTAAAGTCCTACTGCTGAAAGTCGAGAGTCAACGTCATATTCATCCCTATTCATGAACCGACCAAATGACCACCCGACCAATTCGATTATCCCCCTCTTCTCCCCTCCCCCACCCAGTCTATCCCGACTGACCCAGAATAAGTAAATTCTCCCCAACTCCGTGTATCATGGGTATATATATATATATGATAATTTTTGAACACCTCGCTCCTTAGGTGAACAAACAAACCCGTGAATTCCCATTTTTTCGCCATAATCGTGTACACACTTCCCATAATAACAATAATAATAATGATAAAGACACCCCAATCCAAGCAACCCAGCAACCCAGCAACCCAGAAAGCAATACCGTCATGCCATGCCATGTCGTGCCGTGCGATGCCTCGCCTGCCTCCCAATTTCAAATACCGACATAAACACCTTCCATCCATTAAATAATTACATCATCTCACATACACCCCCAATTCTCTCAAGTCCATGTAGATTTTTCAACGTCCACCTCCGTTAAAATCGATCATGTCGGCGAAAAACTTGTCATCGGTGCTCGGTTGCGCAAACTGATTATAGGATTGATTTTCAACGGCGTTGATTTGCGCTGCTTGACTGGGAAGGAAATGAGATGCAAATGTCATGTCGAGCGGTGATCTTTCCTGATCCCACTGCGTGGGAAATTGATTCGTCTGCTGAGGAGGCATTTGATGTGCTTGAGGAAGCGAGTGATTCTTGGCATACCATTCCAGCGGACTCTGATGGACTTGATTCATGTGAGTTTGGGGCTCTGGGCTTCGAAGCACAGGATTTTGATGCATGGGATCCATCTGAGTTTGTGATCCTGCGTTTGGAATCATCAAGTCGTGTTCAAAAGGTGTACCAGGCGTGATGTTCCCAGGAGTACTGGAGCTTCGGCCCATAAATTGGGGTCCAGGATTGCGATTGTAGCCGGGCATGTCGTATAATGTCGCATCTTGTCCAAAGCTTGTGTGTCGTCGTCTAGGCTGTCGATCCATAGATGGAGCGATCAGATTAGAATCATTAGTTAACATTGGTGACGATGCCATGATTGAGCCCTCTAATGGCGATGCAATACTTTGGTCGTGTGGTGGCGTTGGCATATTTGGGCCATAACTGGTTTTTCGACTCAAGGTTCCTGGGGGTGTTGGCATATCTTGAGGCATTCTTCCGGGTTGATTAGTGGTTTGTGATGCTAATTGATGGTTGACTTGTACGAATAATGACAACTCCATTGCCATCTGGGGCTCAACTTGCTCAACCTGCTCCGTGGGACGAAGGCTTTGAGCACCTTCAATCAAAGCTAGAATGTTGTTTGCGATTGCTGGATTGTCGCGTAAATGTTGCATGAGCTCAGTTTGGGTGATGGGAACTGGGACTGGGTTATACATGGGATTCCAGTGACGTCTCTGAAAGACTCGCATTGGACTTTCTTCCTCCTCACCCAAATTCCCAGACATGACAATGTCCTCTGAAAGTTTGAGTCCTCGACCAGTTCTCTCTCGGTGGAGATTTGAAGCCTCTCTAGCCGACTTCATCCGACCCTTGACATCTGGACGATCATTTCTATTGGCGGCAGCAATAAATGCACGCTCTTTGTGAGACATCTTTTCCAAATTGGTCTTGGGGGTCTTTGAAGTGTGTTAGCTATGTTACAATCTCGCCAAAGCAATGAGGACGAGGATGTGTGCATACTTTGTTAGCATAGGACTTCTCGACCTTTGCAGGCTTCATCTTTTTATCTTTAGTCATCTTGAATAATGGTGGTCGGGCGTCTATATTGTTCTATCAGATACAGAGAATTTATATCAAGAATATATGGTGCTTCCTCGTGTCGACTTGGGTGAGAGTAATGGAGATGGTGTATGATATGTTGGTAACGAAGAAGTAATATGTATAGAGAAACGTTTGGTTGACTCGGTTCGTCTTTGCTTTTTAAAAAAAATGTTCGATTTTAAGGTTGACTGGACTAAGATTCCCAGATCGAATGTGAAGTCGATTAACAGGTCGATTTCGGCGACGATTGCGGATACTGGGATGAGGGGGTCGTGGATCGGTAAGCGAACCTGGTTAACAGCGGAGGATAAACAAGCTCGATAAAAATGGTTTGATGGATTAAGTGTGATTGATATCAATTCCCCGATGATGATCAAAAAAAAAAAGCAAGGAATTGAATCTTTTTTTTGTTGAGAAATAAAATAAGAAGAAGAGATGAGAGATGGTGAAATGTGTTTGAAAGCGAATATGGGATGTACGCAAATCTTTTGTAGTTCGTAGAAGACTAATAAGTGCCGGTAGAGCAGGTGGATAGATTAAAGTAGAGTCGAGAGAGGTTAGACGATCGATCTAAAGTTGAAGTGGGTGTAGTGGGGTGAAGAAGTGAACGAAGTGGATTGAAGCCGTGTAGATAGCAAGAATTATCATATATAGTAAGAGTAACGAATGTTACTCTATTTTTCAATTATCAAGTTAAAAAAAAAGTAAAAAGCGTCAATTCGTGTGGGATCGTGTAAAGGAATGTACAATGGTGGGTAAGGTAGAGAGGTATGGGTCTGGGTCTGGGTAGAAATATGGATATGGATATGGATATGGATATGGATATGAATGTGAATATGGGGAAAGGTTGGGAACAAGTAAGTTGAGAAAGGGTTGTAAATGATTCCAAGCTCCGAGGTACATCTGAGGGGGGAAAAGGTTGATTAAATACTGGGTCATGAAGGAGGGTATAAGGTTGAGAGTTAGGAGAAGTAGGTAGATAGAAGGAGGGCAAGAGGCAAGAGGAAAGAAGAAAGAAGAGGTGAGAGGAAGTGAGGGTAGCTAAGAGCGAGTACGACTAGAGAGAAAGATGGGGAAACAAGTCGAGAAATGCAGGTCAGAGAGAGGAAGCGAAAGGAAGAGGAAAGCAAGAATGGAGAGAAAAGTAAGAGAAAAGTAGGTAAGCACCAGAGGATTCGGAATGTAAGATGGGACTTTAAACTTTTCGATAATCAGGTCTACCGTATTCTTTCAGAATTCGATGCAGTCGATCTAAACCCAAAGAGACGTTAACCTTCTGCATCATAGGCAATTGATCAATGATATCTTGGTTCTTTGCGTGTTAGCCAGATGTACTGGTGAATCATCACTTTTGCGTTTTATCCTTGGATGGCGAAGATCTGCTGGGGCTAGCATCTAGTATCTATTTGAGGATCCATTCGAGCCATTCCACCTCGAGACCTCGAGGGAAGAAACAAAAAAAGGTTCTCAGGTTTCATTTGCCCTTGTGCGATTTGCTCTGTTGCTATTGGCGTGACTGCTTTTTTAGAGTGCGATGGTCCTCTGGCAAATAAGATTTTTCCATTGATCAAAGGAAGTTGCTGATTTAGATATCTAATATCTAGTATAGTACATGGTATAGTACATGCACACCTACCTAGTGCCAAGCACCTCCAGGGCTAGCTACTACCTAGGTAAGTTGCGTAGAACAAATGGAAGAAAAGGACGATGGAGAACAGATTGCGGCCATCGGGAACAATTGCCTACTTTTCCGACGGAGTGATCTCAATGGTATTACCTCTCTGGGCATGATTTACGAATATATATTATATTATCTTGGTGGTCATGGGTAAAGATGGGCATATGTCATCTCAGAAATTCGAATACGAATAAGAGACTCTGACATATTTATTCTTATTATCATTACAGTATCATCCAGCATTCCCGGTGGGTAGAAAGGCTGAGTAATACCCGCAGATCTCGCTCCCTATCAATCCTACGTGATAGATCGAATAGAGGGGTCGATGCTCTCATCTCATTGGTCCATCTCCCCATTCCCTTCTTCTATCCAGATTGCCGAGTTCCCCATGCGGCTGGCCCTCGAAATATCACGGGTGGGAAATTCTCCATACCGACCCATCTCTCTCGTCTCATTGGCTCAACCCCCCCAAGCCAAAAACATCAGATCGGTACCAGGTTCCAGACCTCTCGACTATCACATCGGTACTCGGTCTCGGTCTCGTCGCCATTACAATATGACGACAGGGGGGCTCTCTATCTCCCCACGCTGGCCAGGTACTTGTACTTTTACTTCTACTTCTACTTCTACGTCTACTTCTGTGCTTGGGGATGCGGTTGTCCGTTTTGGGGGCAAGCACTGCAACAAATGTCACGATGTGATTGTGATTGTGATTGTGACCCCCTTCCCCGTCCCATGTAACTTTTTATCTTCCGTGCAAACCAGGGCTGAGCATGCTCCATCTACGTCCTACGCCGTACTTCGTCCTTTACCATCCTTCCCAGTTTCCCATCCCCCAAAGTTTTGAGTCACGTGATTCGTATTCGTGTTTGGTCTTTCCCCACGTGTCTTTCATTTGGAGTTCTTTTTCCTCTTTTCACCTCTCTCTCCCATATTACTGTCTCAAGAAATGCCCCCAGATCTCTCTGCCATCTCCCGGATCGTGGCTATACCGGACTGACCAATGCACTGCACCCAGATTCTACCTCGATACGTATTAGTGGTCTGATATTGGTATCGATATTGATATTAATATTAACAAACATTCATCCGGACACGTTCAAACTGCAAACCCCGCGACGGGGTTCCCAAAACAAAGCAAGTGGACGATGGATGGACTAGGTAGGTATCAACTCTATTATCATTGTTCCGAAGAACGTACGATGGAACGCCTGAGAACTTGAGATATCACATATGCCACCATCGAGAGACTCATCATGGTGCTCAATTCGCGATCGGCATGCCCCTGGGTGGCACATAACCTGATCTACTTCTTTTCCCCACGTTCGATGTCGCAAACACTTGCACTTTATTATTTGATCGGGCTTACTCATCCTTCCATTACATACGCACACGCACGCGCACACGCACACGCACATACCGGTACATAGCATCTGGACGAGTAGTTTGTACAGATTAATAAACCATTCAATTAAGCTTAATCAATCGCATTCCTTTCATTAACTGTCTCAGCTCGGGTCATCTCTTTTAAAAGACGTCAACGTTGACGTAGCAACTCACGCCTCATTCCCCAATAGTAGCTTTGTTAGATCGCACCTTTTTCCCCTTTTTACTACCCATACCGTCTGTGAACCTTACCGGATCACTGGGTCAATCATTGAAACCATCAACTAGTTGGCTTATTAATGCACTTTTCTTCCAAATACTATTACACCTAATTATATCCCCTTGTAAGGAACAAATGCTGTGTCTTGGGCCAAAACAGATCCGAGTTTGAGTATTCAAATCAATATATCCCTCCAAAGCCAAAATTAAGTACTTCTGAGCACACCCTGACGCCTACCACCTATCCATGCATGGTCACCTCCAATTTCCCCCAATTTCCCCCAATTTCCCCCAATGACTTTCCATACGCCTCTGAAAACGCTCTAGCGATGATTCGGAAAAGGCATTGGTCCATATCAATGCTTCTCACACCGTCAGAAACATCTCGCTGTCCCCCCTCCTCATCCGACCCCCCGCCAAACTAATCATTCACTACCTAGGTACTCATAGGTCCTGTCCCGTTACCAACAGTTGATTTGATAATCCTATCATGATTCAAAAGCCGTCTTCGGTGCATCAGTCAACGGAACGTATCTCACTCCATATAACTTTTCCCTCGAAACCTTCCCCTCTCCATCTTTATCCACGACCCAGATATGTTGACCGCCGGATCCTCTCCGAGAATCCTCAACTGGTATGAACATTCTACAGTGTGATTAGTTTCATTATATAAAAGATTTATAAAGGAGAATCAACACCAAGATGCCAAACTTACCGACCAGGACTTCTCAACTGCTCAATCAATGCCTCATGGATTTCTGTCGCCGCGGCTCCAACATGTATGGCATCCCATCCCTCCTGTCCATCCGAATCTTTCCACCCCTCTCTCCCATCCCCAACCACAAATTCTACATTTTTCTCCTTTATCCATTTTCTTCCTTGCTCACTTTTCATCACATTGGTCTCGCCCATATCCCGCAATGCTTTTATGTGTTCCAATCCAACAACTTTCCACTTTCCCCCTTCTGATTCTGCTCCCGCTGGATTTCGACGCGAGGAATGTGGATGTGAGGAGGGTAGTACAAGTTCGGCCATAACAGCTGTTAGGTATCCACTTCCACTTCCCACATCTAAAACTCTTTTTCCCTCTCCCAAATATGGGAGTAAACATTCGAGAGCAGAGGCGTGCATATGGGGAGCGGATATGGTGGCTTGATGGCCAATAGATTGCGGAGAGTCCTCGTAGGCAAGGTACTCAGAGGGTGTATAGTGAGTGCGATCTACCTTGAGAGAATGGATTAGCTTTCAGCTCCTAGGCCCTTTGAGAAAGTCCAGAGGGAATTAGATCAAGTGAAGAAAATGTAAGTAGGGGGATCAAGAACAAACGTACAGAAATCATAGCTTCTCTAATCTTCTCACTATGAATCAAACCCGCATTCCACATATTATTTATCAACTCCGCATTCGTGCGACCCGAACATGTCCATGCCATTTTGTTATTGAGTATTATTCCTCGTCTCGCTTGCGTGCCACGTATGTGCGCAAAACGCTGAAGATATGTGCGGAGGTGTAAAGGTGACAGTGTGAAGTTTGTTGGGAATTCGAGAGAAAGCCCTGTGTGTGGAGGGATTTCCTTCACGAATACAACGATCAGGAAGAGGATTACTAGTTGTGGGATGTTGAGCCAGGAGACTCGCATGCGCTGGTATTATTTCTCGTTTCGCAAATTACTACTAGCCTGGAAGCATTGATCCTATATCTGAGGAGGACCACCAGCTCGGTTCCAATTGCGACGAGAGAGGGGTAGCTCCTTCGATTCCTATCCCTTTCCCGAGTGGCTTTGCTTTGTATACTTGAGGGTAGACACGAGATAGAATTAAGATTCAGATGCTAATTTATTCATCTATTCTGAACGAAGCGTTTTCGAGAGCAATATGTAGGGTTTGAGTTGATGCTTTATCAATATCGAGTTAAAAAGCACCATCAAGTGAAGTGCAGCTTGAGCTTTGATAAAAAGTGGCGTGCGGGGTTGGAAATGGTGGGGTGACGTAGCATTGTTAGGGGTGGCGAATGGGGAAAGGTTGATAGTAGGATGGAAATGGAGTGAAAGAACTTTGGAAATCGGAAATTGGATGGGAATGAGAATAGAGTGATAAGACAAGAACCTGGAAGTAAAATGCAGCTCCTTTTCTCTCTAAAGGAAATTTAATTGTGTGTATTGAGATGATAGATCAAGAATTTACCTCGCTAAAACGTCAGACGAAAGCGCGGCGAAGATAGTATGAGAATATATAACAGCACTACAAAGCTGATCTAAAGTAATGAGTGGGAGCTGTCCTTTTCCAATACTACCATTACACTTATTCCTTCCCCGTTGAAATCTGATTCTCAATAAGAATCAAGGTACAGTCTAGTCAAGGGAAGACTTTCTCAGGCATGAATAATCACCACTGGAGAAAAGTTCTTTGTCTTCTTCAAGACCATATGATCATAAACTTAAAACTGCATTGACTTTCCATACCCTCTTTGTTTACATCTCCCTTCACTACCTCCATCTATCCTGCTACACACCAACCTCAAACCCAGCATGTCTCAAACCCCCTCCCGCTTCCCCCAATTCTGGGTATTCTGGGACCTGCCCATCGAAATCCGTCTCAAAATCTGGTCTCATCTCATTCTACCCCCTCGAATCATCCAGCTAGCCAAACGACCAAACCGCGACAGCGCCCCCCTCGTCTCCCTCACCAAACCACCCATTCTCTTCTCTATCAACCACGAAACACGCACTCTCGCCCTCTCGACCTACACTTTCCTTCCCATTCCACATATGCGCATTCCTGTCTCCTGAACGGAAGATACGGTCTACATCACCTTGTCGGAAGTCCGCTCATGTCGTGAATCTAAGAATGATAGTCACATTGCCAGTGTTCTATCTCTCGCTTCCTATTTTCCCATCACTTCTTTGGGATTCACGGCGGTCTGTTGGGGTAGGATGTGCAAATTGCATAATCTTATCTCTGTTGTAGCAGGCATGCCTCATTTGCGAGAGATATTGAAGGTGATTGAATATGGAAGGGAGTTCAAGGGCGAGTTGGGGATTCTGGATATACCGGAATGGAGACAGGACTGGAGAAGAATGGCTACCCAGATAGAGGCGGATATCAGAGATCAAAGAGAGAAATTGAGTAGTGAAGGAAACAAGATGGGAGAGGTGAAGATGAGGTATGTGTATTTGACAAAAGGGGAGGAGATGACTTGAGTGTTTTTTTGATCTTCAAATTACTCCACCTTCGATTTACTTCTTGACAATTACACATCACATGCGCGAAAGATTTAAAAGTACCAAGACACAACGTTCACTTGAACTTTTTACCGTGCTTTGAAAGACAATAGATGACAAAATTAAGAATCGGGCATCATGTAAATTAATACGCACTCGTATCAGACGTGAAACACAATCCATGCACAGTGCGTCAAGGAGGGTAATTTTGAACGGATGTCAAGACATGTTTTTGATCTCCCGTTACTTTTCTCCTTCAATTAGATGCTAGCTAGTCCTAGCAGCGTACTCGTGAACAATGCAATGCTCCACTATTTCCTACAATGTGTTTTCCAAGCCCGTATATTATATACTCTTCCTCAGAAACCACATGGTAATAAACTCGCAACGCCATCCCAATGCAAAACCGCCCATATCTAATTCAGTGGATCAAAAATTGAACAAGCACCATTCCCTCTTGGGTGGCATCATAGGCATAACACCACCTGGAAAAGCTCCCGTTCGCCTCGCCTGTAGATACGCCGCCGTTGTCGGCTCATCAAAAGCCACATTCTCAATTTCGGTAGTTTTGTTTGGTCCGATATAGCCCTTTGCACACCATATCTTGTGCCACTTGCCATTCACTGAAGTCCCTGGCTCTCCGTCCTTATATTCAACTGGGAGTCCATTGAAAGACTCCAACTTGTCACCCCGAGTCCTTATGTAACTTTCAGCTGGAGGATGTGGTACTATATTATCATTTGGTGGTGCTCGGAAATTTGGACTGAAAGTGTTCATATCGGAGCCAGATCTCATAGGGGGGGCGCCGGCGGTCATATTTAGATTGCCAGCACTTGGCTGATTACCAAACTGCTGTGCTTCTTGTGTAACAGGAGCTGTAAATTGGTTCTGCATCGCATTCATAGGTTGAGAACTTGGAGCTCCAAAGGGGTTATTTGGCGCTGGAGAAGGAGCACCGAATGCTTGGGAATTCCCGGAATTTGAGCCAAATGGATTTGGTGGAGCAGGCTGATTGAAAGAATTAACAGGCGCCAACGGGTTGCTATTTTGCGATATCGGATTGACCTTCGATTGTTGAATCCCAGGAGGAAGAGGGTTGGAACCAAAAGCCCCTCCCATGGGGTTTACCAAGGGATTTGGACTTGGATGACCAAAAGCATTACTTGTACCGCCAAAGTTGGAGAAGCCTGCCTGTCCAGAATTCATGGCACCATTTGAGGGTGCACCGAACGGACTTGGTTTCTGTCCAAGAGCTGAAGGGTTTCCAAAAGCCCCAGCGCCAGCCCTTTGCTCTAATTGTGAAGGCTGTCCAAAAGTGCTACCAAAGGCACTTGGCTGTTGGCCCAGAGCGGATGGCTGGCCAAAACCACCAGATGCCCCATTTTGTGGTGCAACTCCAAAGCCTTGGGAAGGCCCACCAAACGCACCGGCGTTCTGAGTTGAAGGCTGTCCAAAGGTTGTACCATTTTGGTTGGTTGGTTGACCAAATGCAGAGCCATTCTGAGTAGACGGTTGACCAAATGCAGAGCCATTTTGAGTAGACGGCTGCCCAAATGCTGATGTGGTCGTTTGATTAGCTGCACCAAAAGCATTGTTTGTAGGAGGATGGTCGCTCCTCTGAACCCAAGGTGTTTGGTCTGTGGAGGTGCCCTGTTGACAAATATCAATCCGATTTGGATGCTTACTGTCAGAGGCGACAATATAATTTATGGCGCCATCTATATCATTCAGCGCAGTCTGAATTTGTTGATCTGCTTCTTGCCATAATCTCTCTGCATCTTGTATCTATAAAAGAAATATCAGTCTCTAATGGTTCTGGGCCCCATAATGCTTTTCACGTACAGCTGGTTGAGCATTGCCAGATGCTACCGCAATGTAATGGAGAAGGCGCATTTCCTCAAAACTTTGTTCTCGCGCTGGTCCACCAAACAACTGCTCTGGCGCATGGCGCCCAGGTCCATATGCCGACAGAATCCATTGTGGTCTGTCGGTCGTGAGGTCTTGCTTTATAGTCGCTTTATCGAGACTGAAAGGTATATGCGCCTCATTTCCTTACAACTCCGTAAGCCACCGTATATACTTATGTATGCTCAAAATACTCACCTCCTCGTTGTGTAATGATATTTCTCGAGCTGGATTGGTTGGAAGGCTGATTTTGAAGAGGCGCATATCGATTATGGAAGCCATTCCTATTGGAATTGGCATTTTGATCGGAGTGTTCGAATCTGCAGTCAGCTTTCGATAATTAGCACATTTTCGTCCTTAATATCGAGAACTAGCCATACCTCCGTTTCTGCAATTTCCCTGCTGCCAGAATCTACACACGGCCATTGTTTAATCTGCCTGGGGAATCAAGATGGTAGTAAAGGAATTTTTGGATGGATGGCCAGAGCCTAAACGGCTACACTTATACAGTATTCATTCGAGGTTCACGGGGGTTGAGAAAATTCATATTGATAGAAGTGTGTATATGGCTTTGTTTGATTGATGCGAATGAATTTTTGAAGATGTTGGTCGGAACGCGGTCTGATAGTTAAACGCGTCGGTACGGTTAATTTGAAAATTGATTGTCACAAGTGGAATGAGTTAAATTCTACATCAAAATACAATAATTACATATTCATCAAATCAGAGCCTATCGCAACTCCCCAATTTACTCCATAACGCTATGTTGGTATCTTTGAAATGTAGATGTACAGCTTCGCCCTTCTTTCTCATACGTCAATTCTTGGCCCAAGTCCTTCCTTCACAGCTGCAGACAGGCGTTCCCAATCTAATCCACCAATTGATCTGCTACCTATTCCTTTTAGTGACAAAGTTTCCGAGAATTTCCCAGTGCCGATTCGTCGCATCATTATCGTATCCCGAGCCTTTCTTATTGCTCTTCCTTCTCCGCGAAGTAAGTAGTCCTCGAACCAAGCTTCTTCTTCTGGTGACAATGGTAGATTTACCAGTTCGACACTGCGATCTGCGATAGTTTCTGGAGGAGAATTTTTAAGAACGGCCGCGATGAGTAGTTCGAACATGTGTCGTTGCATGTATTGCGACTGTCCTCGCGAGAAGTAGAAGGCTTCTGTGACACTTGTTCTTGCGATGGCATAAAATAAACTTTCTGTTGCTCGAGATGAATTCAAAGCTGGCTGCACGGTATGATAGTATGCTAACGGAATTGCGAGATCGTCTGAAGAATGTAACACGAGGGCTTCCAAGATTTCATCCGCAAAACTTGGTATCAAAGATGGATGGGTCAGATATTGAAGAGCCAGCTGGCAACGATCAGTCCATATCAAGTATCTACTAATCTTAGAGACAGAGAATCACGAACCTCAAAATCAAGATTATCCAGATGCCAAAGGCCTTTCATGTAGATCTGGTAGCTTTGAGGTAAGAACGACTTTTGTTCAAATGTAGTGGAGTAATCTCTTCGTCCGGTTGGAGCGTCAAAGTCGAGCAGTATATAATACAGAGCTGATAATTTATGATGATCTTGGCCCGTCGATTCAATGATGACTTTATGTAGATTTCGAAGGTCACTATTTGATTTCGGAGGATAGTATTTAACAGCTTGCGCACAAGTTAGTAAAGGTATGCTCCCACAACGATTTGTAGGAGCTCACGTCGACGAATTTCAAAATTCTTCAGTAGAGTGTCCACGAATAGGCCTTCAAGCTTCTTACGATTGCTCTCAATTTTTCGCACGGCGTTCTCATCATATGAGCAGCCTGGGTCAAAGTCGAAAACTTCGTCGAATTTCTGGAACGTAAACATTTCGTACCGCCGTCTTGCTTGTGTACCGTTGTTTATGTTTAAGGATATACCTAATCGGCGAAATTAAGCAATTACTCTTTTCTACATGGTCCACCATAATCAGATAAGAACCTTATCTTAGCGTTGTTTGACTGAAGTAAACAATGGCCCTCCGCAACATGCAAACCTGACAGGAAAAACAACAAAACTCAACAACACAGCCTATTTTACACCCGATTTATTGATTGAATATAGGACGTGCTGTTAATAGGTACATTAGTCTCTGTTATCTTATGGTACTAATTATGCATTACTGATTTAATATAGCTCCTCTATCTACAGCAATAACCAATTTTTCCCCGCGAGTGAAAAAAAACAAACACATTCACTGGACCTCATCATGTCAGAATCCCCAGTGCGGTCCTCAAGACGGGTCGGTTCTCGCCGGAAAGTGGTAGTAGAATCATCAGATGAAGATGAAAGTATGGAAGTAAAGGTTGAAGAGGAAGATGACGAGGAAGAGTTCACCCCCGCACCGAAGCGTAGTACCCGAACAGCACCCCAGTCAAGGAGGAAGACAGCAAATTCAATGGCAGCTACACCTCGCGCAGGCGGTCGAGCGAAGAAAAGTTTAGGGGCAGAGAACGCTGAACCTTCGGAAATGTTCGATCCTGACCAGACAGCAACTCCAGCGCCTGAGTCCCCTACAAAAAAGGCAGCCCCACGGAAAAGGAAGAGCGTATTGCCTACCAGAAGTGCACGCAGCTCAGTAGCGCCTGAGTCAAATCCCACTCTACCAAAACCAAATACCTCGCAGTCCCCTGAGCCATCCGAAATACACAATAGCACAATTCTTGCAGATATCACGGAAAGGCCTGGGACGTCGGACAGTCAAGCGTCAGCTGTCAAACCTGTTCGAGCAATGGATACAATCATGGAAAAGCCCATGGATATTATGCTGAAATCAAGGACTGCGGCAGCAGCTCCAGTGGCTGAGGAGACTGGTCCAAAATCTCGAATAGTTATCACTTACCTGATTCTTACGAACTTCAAGAGTTATGCTGGTCGTCAGGAGGTTGGACCCTTTCACTCTTCTTTTTCTTCTGTCGTTGGCCCTAACGGCTCCGGAAAATCTAACGTTATTGATTCTCTCCTTTTTGTGTTCGGCTTCAGAGCTAGTAAAATGAGACAGGGCAAAATTTCCGCATTGATTCACAATTCAGCAGCTTTTCCGGACTTGGATCATTGTGAGGTTGCCGTACATTTCCAAGAAGTGATGGATCAGCCAGATGGCACCCACCAAATTGTTCCCAATTCTGATTTGGTCATATCTCGAAGGGCGTTCAAAAACAACGCAAGTAAATATTACATCAACGGAAAAGAGTCAAACTTCACCATTGTCACGACACTCCTTCGTGATAGAGGCGTCGATTTGGATCATAAGAGGTTTTTGATCCTTCAAGGTGAAGTCGAGTCAATTGCTCAAATGAAGCCAAAAGCTGCAAATGAGCATGATGACGGTCTTCTGGAGTATCTGGAGGATATCATTGGCACATCCAAATATAAGACCCCTATTGAAGAATCTGCTACCGAAGTAGAGACTCTAAATGAAGTGTGTGTTGAGAAGAGTGGGCGGGTTCAGCATGTTGAAAAAGAAAAAAATGCACTTGAAGATAAGAAAGATAAGGCTCTTGCTTATATCAGGGACGAAAATGAATTGTCCATGAAGCAATCAGCATTGTACCAAGTTTATATCAATGAGTGCGGTGATAATCTAGCCGTCACGGAAGAGGCTATTGGCCAAATGCAGACACAGCTAGACGCGGAAATGGAAAAACATCAGGGCAACGAAGCAGGTATTAAGCAGCTTGAAAAAGAGTACAAAAAGGGCCAAAAGGAGTATGAGTCGGTCGAAAAGTACACACAAGCAATTCTCAAGGAGATGGCAAACCTCGATCAAGAGCGAGTAAAGCTTGAAGAGAAGAAAAAATTCTTGACAACGAAACAGAAGAAACTGGAAAAGACAATTAACACATCCGACTCTGCGATTTCTGAAGCTCAAGCCACAATTGAGAAGTGTGCAGAAGAAATACAGGAAGCTGCTGCCGAGATAGCTGCAACCGAACAGAAAATGGCGGAAGAGGAGTCGGAGCTCGCTAATATTAGGGATAGTCTCAAAGGCAAAACCCAAGCATTTTCTGATCAAATCGCGGCCAAGCAGAAGTCACTGGAACCCTGGAATGAAAAAATCAATCAAAAACAGTCTGCTATTGCTGTGGCGGAGAGTGAGCTTGCAATTTTAGACGAGAAGGCGAATTCCGGTAATGTGGCTCTCCGGGAAATTCAATCAAAGGTGCAAGCCATAGAAGAAAGCAGGGAGGCTAAACTCGAAGAGCTCAAGCAATGCAGAGGGCAAAGAGCGAAGCTGGAAAAGGACGGTGCTCGATTACAAGCCGAACTCACGCAACTGTCTCAGAAGGAGCCGGAATTCCGCTCTAAACTATCTGGGGCTCGCCAAAAAGCCGATGAAGCTCGTGCTAGTCTTTCAAACACTCAAACCCAAGGAAATGTCCTGACTGGTCTGATGAGACTTAAGGAATCTGGCCGAATCGATGGCTTCCATGGACGACTGGGAAACCTGGGCACAATTGACCAACAGTTTGATATTGCAATTTCTACTGCCTGCGGAGCCCTTGATAATTTTGTAACGGATACAGTCGAGGCTGGTCAGCAGTGTATCGAATATCTCCGAAAGACTAATCTCGGACGAGGCAACTTTATGTGTTTGGATAAATTAGGAAATCGTGATCTTTCACCCATTCAAACACCAGAAAACGTTCCTCGTCTGTTTGATCTTATCAAGCCAAAAGATGACAAGTTTAGACCGGCATTCTTCCACTCACTACAAAATACACTCGTAGCCAATGATCTAGCACAAGCGAATCGCATCGCTTACGGAGCTAAAAGATGGCGTGTCGTGACTTTAGATGGCCAACTGATTGATAAATCGGGTACTATGTCTGGTGGTGGAAACACGGTCAAGAAGGGGTTGATGTCTTCGAAGCTGGTGGCCGAAGTCTCAAAAGAGCAAGTTTCAAAATTGGAAGTAAACAGAGATGAGCTTGAGAAAACTTTCCAGAAGTTCCAGGATCGCCAAAGAGACTTAGAAACGAGACTTAAAGATATAAATCATCAAATACCGCAACTCGATACGAAAATGCAAAAGCTCGGTCTAGAGGTGGACAGTTCTGAGCGAAACTTAGTTGACGCACAAAGAAGAATTAAAGAGTTAAGCAAGGAGCATCAGCCATCTCAGACAGATGATAATCGAGTATCTGCACTGAAGAAGGACATCGCGAAGCTTCAAAAAGAAATCGAGAAACTTCACGCGGAGACCGCAAGCGTTGAGGATGAGATCAAGGCTCTTCAGGACAGAATTATGCAAGTTGGTGGTGAGAAGCTTCGTGCTCAGCGTGCTATGGTAGATTCTTTGAAAGAAGAGATTGATACCCTCAACCAGGCCATGTCAACAGCAGAAGTGACCAAAACCAAAGCCGAAAAACAAATCCTTAAGCACGAGAAAGATCATGCTAAGGCTACCAAGGAAATACAGGCTTCTATTGCGGATCTAGAAGCACTAGAGCAGGAGATTCAAAACCAAGGATCAAGCTCTGAAGGATCGCAAGCTCGAGTTGATGAAGCCCAAGAGACTCTGAGAGAGAAGAAAAAAGCGCTTAGTGCTCTCAAAGCTGATCTTGATGAGAAAACCATTGAACTCAATGAGACCCGTGCAGTTGAGATTGAGATGCGCAACAAGCTTGAAGAAAACCATAAAGTATTGACTGAAAACCAAAAGCGACTAAGATATTGGCAAGAGAAGTTTGGTAAGCTTGCCCTACAGAGTGTTAGTGACCTAGGCGAAGAAGTTGAGCGAGAGGAACTTCCTACTTTTACCAGGGACGAACTCGCCGATATGAGCAAGGAGGCATTGAAGGGAGAGATCGCAATCCTGGAAGAAAAAACTCAGAATGTCAATGTCGAGTTAGGTGTTCTTGCAGAATACCGTCGAAGAGTTGAAGAACATGCTGCAAGGAACCAAGACTTACAAAGTGCTGTAACTCAAAGAGACACCGCCAAGAAACGCTGCGATGATTTGCGACGCCTTCGTCTCGAAGGCTTCATGGAAGGTTTTAGCACGATTTCCCTTCGACTCAAAGAGATGTACCAGATGATCACTATGGGAGGAAATGCCGAGTTGGAACTAGTGGACTCGCTGGATCCATTTTCGGAGGGGATTCTATTTAGTGTGATGCCACCAAAGAAATCATGGAAAAACATCTCAAATTTGAGTGGTGGTGAAAAGACGTTGAGTAGTTTGGCACTGGTGTTTGCTTTGCATCACTATAAACCCACACCTTTATATGTAATGGACGAGATTGACGCTGCTCTTGATTTTAGAAATGTAAGTACAATCCTACTGTCTTTCCGAGTGTACATTGCTGACATATCTAGGTTTCCATTGTAGCATCTTACATCAAGGAACGAACAAAGAACGCACAATTCATCGTTATCTCGCTGCGTAACAACATGTTTGAGCTCGCGAGTAGGTTGGTCGGAGTATACAAGGTCAATCACATGACGAAGAGCGTGACGATAGAAAATAAGGATTACATCACGGGTCGAGCATAATGAGATGCAACATTGTCGTGTGTTTTTGTTTTTGTGCGGGCGTTGGATAACTCTATGGGATATATCAGGTGTATTATGATTATTAATGATATGATGATTTTCTTTTTCTACTCATGTCGAAGTTATCATCCTCTAAGAAATGAGGCTGTAATGCAATGTGCTGACCACCATCTGCCTACCTATCTATGTTATGGCTACCAAATCCCGCGATGTCTTGTGCCAACAATTTCGGATGAGATGGCGTGTGTAGGGGCAAGCCCAACCTTGGAAAGTCTGATCACGCCGAGTTAGTGTTAAGCTCAGTACCTCGCGGCTTTGCCCTATACAATTATGCTTTTTGCTAAGACCAGTCACATCTTAATTTGGATGTGAGAAATGAGGTCCAGGGAGATAAGCATTTATGCTCCAGGGTCATGTAGTTAATTATAAATATTGCTATGCAATAATATCATTTGAGACTATCTATTTATTTCACTCATTTTTGTCATTGGCGTTTATAAGTACTGATCTTGTTTCTTTTTGTCCCTCTTCGTCTTCGTGTCACCATGGGAAATCTATCGAAGAAACCAGAATTTGTTTGTGCCTGGAGCGTGGCATGGTCCAGAATCCGTAAGGTCTCTTACTATCACACTGATTCAATGATTTATGTGTTGAAATGTTGCTGCTGCTGCTCAGCTGCTGCCTTGCTGAGAAATTTCAAGAAGCTTTTCCGCTTAACACGACCCCATTTGACGTTCCCGTCTGACATTTTCTTCCCCCAAAGTTTGAACCCACCGCAGATATCCTTGCAGCAAAGGGTTACAAAGTCCACGGCATTTACCCAAAATCTGTGGGTGCGTCTCCTCGTCTCGAAGATTTCCAGCTAGATGTCGAAACAATCAGGTAGTTGCTCTTCCTATACTTTCATCTCATATTCCTTTCTCTCACTTTCCACCGTACCGTAATAACTCACCTCAGGAACAAAATCGACTCTCTCCTATCCACATCCACTCCTCTGATTCTCATCTACCACTCTTACGGCGGAGTAATCGGCTCGTCGGCTCTAGATACCTATATCGCCACCCTGCCTCCCTCAACCACCCCCTTTTCTTCCACTGGTCTGATCCGTCGTTTGGTTTACATCGCGGCCTTCTGTCTTCCCAAACCCGCGTCTTTAATGGGCGCTCTGAATCATAATCCCCTTCCCCGGTGGTCCATTTCACCGGATTCCAGAGCTCTTACTTGTTCGGATCCTTTTGAGATCTTCTACAATGATGTTTCCAGAAATGAAGCACAAAAATATGTGGAGATGCTGAAGGAGCACATTTATAAGACCTTTGATTCGCCAGTGACTGCGGAGCCGTGGAGAAGTATACCGAGTACGTATGTCGTTTGTGAAGAAGATAAGGCGATTCCTTTGGGAGCGCAATTGGGGATGATCAGGGGTACACAAGAGATTGCTGAAGGGAGTAAGTTTTGTTTGTTTCTTATTGCTTCTTCTTCATACAACTTCATGTCATGAAAAGAAGGGCATATAGTAGAGCTCCAGACGACGGAGTAAGAATCGTTCACCGGGGTCACACTCTTCTAACTATGTGTCACCCTCCTTCCCTATTCTCCCCATCGTTTCTTCTCTATACCCCCGCAAACTCCTACATACTCACTTTTCATTGTATTTTCGATCATTAAGTTTCCTCCAGAACTCCCAAGAAACTGATAACATATCTGCGTTAGGCTTCGACACGATTGAACGTACAGATGCCGGTCATAGCCCGTTTATAAACCAACCGGAATGGCTGGCTGAAAAATTAATAAAAGCCGCTGAAACCCCTATTTGATATGTCGTACAGGGAATATTAGACAAGTGATTAGGTGGCATTTTGGAAATATAGCTATTAGAGGTGAAGAAGGTCGGAAGGGGGAAGTATCGAGATGGCTCGGCAGTCTAATGTAGGCTCAAATTTTAGGGAGTTATCTTGGAATTCAAGCTTTGCAATATAGACTTGAAATTGGAATTTTCGTTAGACGATATCTTATGAATGTGAGAGACGATGATTACACGTTTTCTTATAGTGCACTGTATGTGTACCGGTATATCAGTCCAAGAACATAACATAAGTAGTGCCCATACCCTAGACAGTATAGTGATCGTTCTGCATGCAGGCAAAATCAACGGCCGGAAACCAGTACCTTTGAAAAGTCTTTACAGCTCAATATATTATTTAAGGGTTATATGTGAATAAAATCTAAATAATTATACCTAAACTTTAAAGTAAAAAGAACCTAAACTCTTGTTGTATCTTTCCAAAATTCTTGGCTTGTTTTGTGGTTGATTTGTGATTTCAATTAATCAATGAGAGTGAAATGTTCAACTCCGGCCGCTCATGGAGAGTCAGTTATATATTCACAAAAGAGCTGAAACGAAAGGTACCTATTAGAGATTGGTATAAGTTTGGACAATCCAAGGTTACACGATGTCATACTGTTGAATGTATAAATAATAACCATCCGCTCATTAACAACAAGAGAATATTAAATCTATTCAATCATAGGTACTTAGATGCTATTCTCCCGTCCATGATTGAACAGGTGTTAACCGAGGGGGCATTCATATTTGCTCTAGAGATGGCCGGTTAGCTCTAAAAGAAATTATACCTACTCACCTACTTATTGTTAATTAGACTTGGATCATGACGTCTGATTGTCTTGAGTTCCAGTCAAATTGTGTATTTCAGTATGATTATCTCACAATCAATCATCCACTACCTGGGTACTCATATGTCTCGCCTGGCGTGGCAGAGTTTCGGTGAAGCTTTCGTTGCTGTGGCAACGTGATGTTTGCGTTTTTGCGGGTAGAGCTTCAACATCAACCAAAACTTTAACATGGTTTTAAGGTATCGAAATACATCAACCCAACCAACACTCACTTGAATTGGTATAGAATACTCCTTGAGGGAGCGGGCAAAGGTCTTGATTCCGTTGATACAGTTCTTTGCTTGTTTGCTTTTATCTTGCATGGTCATTAATTCTATTCTTTCTTCTTTTCTGTTTGTGTTGATATCTATTCTTTACTTGGATATCCTTTGATTGTGATCATGTCTGTACGAGGTTAGTATTTTCTACAGAAATCGATCGAGTCTCACCCCAAGCTAACCTTCAACCAAGTCGTTGCAAGGATACGTCCTCTCCTACCAAAGGAATTGGATAAGGATACCATCGTGCGCGCCGAAAGTAGTCAAGATAGCAAAACACCCAATGTCGTCCGCATACCGAATCCTAAAAACGAATCGGAGGAATTCAGCTTCACATTCAATGGAGTCTACGATGTGGGGACATCCCAAGAGGAACTATTTTCGAACGAGGTTGCGCCCACGCTGAAATCATTATTCCAAGGACTTGATGTCACAATCTTTGCATATGGAGTTACTGGAACGGGAAAAACACATACAATGCGTGGTGGAACAAAGTTGGCAGACCGTGGGATTATTCCTCGATTATTGAGCGGGATTTATCGACGCGGACGGAAGGTTGCGAAGGATTCTGGAGAGAACACCTCCGTTACTGTTACATTGTCCTACTACGAAATATATAACGACAAAGTCTTCGACCTATTCGAGTCTCCCGATAAACGATCTCTTGCTGGTTTGCCTCTTCGAGAGAAAGATGGAAAGACAATAGTTGTTGGGCTCTCGGAAAGGTCTTGCAATGATCTCAAGGATTTCGAAAAGTTATACATAGAAGCCAACAACAACCGGAGCACAGCAGGGACCAAGCTCAATGCGCAAAGTAGTCGGAGCCATGCCATCTTGATGGTCAAGGTAACACAGACTACTGGCAATGCGACCTTGATCAGCACTGCATCAGCAATCGATTTAGCAGGATCAGAGGACAACCGGAGAACAGACAATGGCAAGGAGAGAATGATTGAATCTGCAAGCATCAACAAAAGTTTGTTCGTGCTCAGTCAGTGTATTGATGCTATTGGTAGAGGCGACAAGAGAATTCCGTATCGAGAATCTAAAATGACACGAATTCTCAGTCTGGGTCAAAATAATGGTATCACTATAATGGTTTTGAACCTTGCGCCGTTGCGTTCTTACCATTTGGATACTTTGTCTTCCTTGAACGTAAGTTCAAGAGCAAAGAGAATAGAAGTCAGGGAAATTGAGAATGAAGTTGTTTTCACGCAGCCACCCAGGAAAACAGCCGGAGCTAGTATGCAACGACAGCCGTTGAGGCCTATCACAAATTCGCATAATACTGTAGCCAACCCAGCACAAAAGGCCGAAAAGCCCGCAAAAGCTTTTTCTGTATATACAGATAAAAGCAAAGCAACTACAGCCCGGCCGTCGAGCAACACTCCAGCACTCCGAAGATCTAATTCGAATAAAAAGAGGCCATCTGATGGAGTCATCGGCTCACGGGTTACCAAACTCGCCAGACCTGTGCCATCGGGGTTTAAATCGACCACAGCTGATATCTCAGCCGCGAAAATTGAGGAAATGGTTGAACGCAAAGTCTCAGAAATTCTTGCAAATCGCGCCTTAGAACAGACATCGAAGATCGCACCCACTGAAATTAGTGAAGCGGTTCAGAAGAGACTCGAGGCACTGGAAAAGAAGATTGACGAGAACTCGGCGGAAGATGCGAGATCTGAAGGTCTGAGGTTTCTGCTTATGGCGAGACAACACAAAGAGCGTGGTGAAGAAACCAGCGCTCTCAAGATGTACGAGTAGGTTTGCCCAACTAATCTATTTTCACTAAGTAACATTGACTAATTCTTATCAGGATGGCACTTCCTTTCTTCCCAGGCCAAGAGAAACTGCTCAAGAAGATTGAGCATCTCAAAAGCAAAATCCAAGCAAGGAATACTGGTGTGACGACCAAGTATTCAGTGCCAGTAGAATCAGAAATGCGAAAGCCTACTGCTCCATTTGTACAGCTGCAAACGCCCGCCAGTTCATTTCAGCAAGAGGAAGAGGAAGTACGGTCCGTATCAAGAAAGAGTTCAGAACCCGATGCGGAGTACGATGCATCCTTTGTAAATCAGGAGGAGAATTATGAGGATGATGATAGCTTTTCACACAGAGCCTCCAAGTCAAAGAAGTCAAAGTCCAAAACGACAACCAAATTGCGTGTCTTCAACGACGAAGCTTCTCTTAGCCTCCTGGATCCCCCCACGCCTCGAACAAGACATCTATTGGATATTGTCAACTCTAGAGATGTAGGAATGATCAGGGGTCTTTGCGGAGTAGGCCCTAAGAAGGCTAGAGATGTGGTCGAGTTTCTAGAGCTACAGAATGAGGATGATGGCGGTCAGATCAAAACTTTACAGCAGCTCAGAGCTGTCCCTGGACTAGGAAGCAAAACCGTAGAACGGGCGTATGAGGGAATTTCGTTGCTGGTTTGAACTATTCGAATCACTTTGCATTATAAGTTGGGATTGTCCTTGCTTAAACGGCCTCTTTGGAGCGGCGTTGGTAGGAGTTTGAGTGGATAGGTCATGAGAATTAGCGGGCATTGTTGGAATGGAGTACTGTTTATTGGATATATTATCATAAGGATTATTTGACATGACTTTATTTTCTGCGGTCTGTCCTCGCCAATCGATCATATCAATCACATAAATGTCAAGTGTCATGTTAACTGCCGAACATTTCGTGGATACTCTCCGCGGAGATTTGATATGAGATTGTTTATCTAAATAACGCTGAAGTTGACTCTTCTCAATCCAGTGATCATGATTAGGATAAAGCGGAAATAGCAATAAGTATTTTCCATTCTCGTGATATTCGGGAAGAGAAAGGAACAGTAAGTCATTGCTCATCAATCACTCACGTGATTGCATTTAAAACCCCACTGCCCCCTACAACGCCACTGAGTGCCGACAAAGGCGCATACCTAGGAAGGGTCTGCTTGCACAAGTAGTGTACCTCGCTACCGAGAATTTGAGCCACACTTACACACGGAGAAGTGTTGAGTTTGTGTCATGGCGCCGGAATATATAGCCGAACAAGACAAGCGATTTTAGAGTTTGCATGGAACAGCCATTTGTGGCTCATCACAAACTAGCTGATCCATACCTACCTAGGTAGTAATCGGTGGAACCGAATTGTGGCTTGAGAATTGTACTAGGGATATTCTCCCATGGAGAGGAGTTCGGTAGTGATCAACATGGCTGATGCAGACTGATCTCGGATAAGTACAATAGGGGTTATGATCGACATGCTAAATCTTCGATTTCGAATATTATTGCGCAACAAATCGGCGTCAAATCTATCATTTTATTATTTTCTAATATTCTTTTATAAAAAATATCTCAAATATCTCAAATATCAAAGGGAAACTCTAAATTTGAGCCACAGTTTGCATTTTCAAGACCCGAGCAAACAAGCATCCCCGCCTCATGCATGTTCTGTCACATCGCACGGCGATCTCACATGTCAAAAGTAAAGTCTAGGGCCGTGTAAAAATGGCAATGAGGACGGTACCAAGATTGTGGCACCAGCTCAGCTGAGGCTTATCGGCTCAATGTCCCTGTGAGGCGAGAAACAACGGTATTGCACATTCTTCATCTATCGTCGGAGCCGATGAAATGGGCTATATCTAGAACGACGATTATCATCATCATTAGTATTTTATCCATGATGTAAGGCTTGTGCCACCTTCACAGCTACAATTTACACGTGGACACAGTGCTGTTTTTGAGGAAGGATGGGTGGCGAATCTGGAGAATTTTTCCCATGGCGGCCTAATCAGGCTGCTACAGGGTTTCTGGGGTACATGCATACCATTTGTACATGGGGATCAAACTGAGCTGCAGGATACATATACACATACAAATACGTACTATGTACTATACATGTGTGAGCTACAATGAGGCTACCTTATTATCCAATCACATATCTGAGGCTTGTGTCTGAGGCTTTGCGTTTGAGGCTTGCGTGGTATAGCTCAACTTCCTCTTTTTTTGCGTCTTTTATCCTGAACCTTAAATTAATAGTAGTAGTAAATTCATAATCAATTCGATCTATATAGCTATACTAAGATCATACAATATACCTATATCTATATCTAATTAATTAAAAAAAATATAAAAAAAATATAAAAACCTATCCTTCTTTAATATCCTATCGAATCGTCTATATTATATATCTATTCTATTTAATATTTATAATCTATAATATCTATACTTTCAAAGATAATATTATTACAATTACTTCGTTTTTATTCTATAAATTAATAATATATAGTCTATTTCTATCCAATATAATAATATAAACCCCCTTTCCCCTCTTTTACAATATAACGATTTTTATTATTATTGTTATTATTGTTATTATAATAATATAATTCTATAATTACCTACCTCTACCCTATAATAACTATATTTCTTTATTTGCTTTTTATCTTTCTTACTTTTTTCCTCTTTATTTACTTTACCTAATCTTTTATTTATTATTTGTTTTATTCTTTATAATAAAGTATAAATCCTTTTATATTCCTTTAGATATTTTATTATACTTTATTTTATATTTACTTTATCATTCCTTTATCCTCATTAACTTAAATCTTAATCTATTACTTTTAAAGTAATACTCTTTCAAAATGTCTTTCAAAAAGAGAATAAATATTTAAAGATTCTCTTTTTGCTTTTATCCTATTGTACGTTCATTTTGTAATTGTTATGTCAAATATTTATATCAATTTACTTATAATCCTGTCATAATCTGTATTCGTGCTTATGGGAAGTACCCCTGTTGTCGTACCGGGAAACCTTAAATTATACACAGACAAATCGAATGATATCTATTAGGTAGGTGATTATCGAATCCCTCAAAGTATACCAATACAAGTCGATCGAACATATACTAGCTACCCGAATTCCTTAGCTCACATTCTCAACAACACAGAACACAAATATGAAATTGAAATTCTGCGAAGCCGAAGTACTTAGCTTCTAGTAGATCAGTCATCACCGGCGCCCGTCAAAGTTCACCTAGTCTTGGAATTCGATATACGTGTCCTCCCTTCTGTAGCCGGAATGCACAGTTGACAAAGACTTCGTAGATAGTTCGTGATTGGCATTGCACGATTGTTGCTCGGTGTGTTGGTTTGGTTCTCTCTAATCATGCAAGCCATAGGTTAGTATGGCAGGGTTAGTACCTGCTAAATTTACCGATTGATCATTTGATTAGTATTGTTAGTGGTAAATCTTATCATGTTGACAAGATTCAAAATCAAAATCCCTCAACCGCGCTCGTAAATTTGAGATTTTTCTATTAGATGAAGTCAAGTGAAAAACTAATTATGATACTATAATACTAGAATTTAAAAATATGAAACTATAAATGAGCAGCTAAATGAGAACTAGCTTGTTTCTCACCAAGTATTTACTCGCATCTAAACTTAGATCAAGATATCCCTCGAGTTATCTTTTGGAGCTCTGACACAGGATTAGAATTGAGAGCAAATGCACTTGTTCCAAACCTAAACTTTGAAAGCTTGAAAGTTTAAAAGTATAATATCTACCTAAAAAGAAGACTTGTGAGCTATCAAAAGTGGCTCGGTCCTTCCTATAGATTATTATCAATTGTAAAAACCTGAAGTGTTGTTAATCCTATTCCCAAGATAAAGGAATCTAAGTTCTCATGATCATCTCCAAATACCTCTAGATATTGTATACCTCAAAAATGGACAAAAATCATTAGTTCCTATCACAATTCGTCAATTTACCATCCCACATCTCTAAGCGGGAATAATCTCGCTAGAGTTATCAACTCTCTCTAGCGAGTTGTAGATACAAAGTACCAGCTAACGATTAGTCAGTACATGTAGCATTTAGCAGGGTAAGATTAAGTCTATGGACGATAAATTTCAAACGCAAATGCGTTCAAGTACCTTCTGAATCTAAGCAGTGCCGTCTATAGTCCAAGACACGTATATCTACTCAGACTAGAAAAGGGACACATTATCTATCATCCATCGATCTCGGCTTCTCAAAAAGTAAAGTAGCTATTATCTCTTTTGCGCTCAACTACACCCCAAGTTCCAACCATGCATGCACCAGAAAATAATAAACTCCTTTCCTAGCCCCGGCTTAGCACGCAATAGTAATAACAATAATAGCAACAACTTTGCCTGTGTCTATACCGAATAAACACCACATTATAATAATGATCGTAACAAGAAATAAACCCCCAATCCAGTAAAACTAACATCTCAAATCCATTCTTAGATTCTCAATCCATCACGTCCCCCCCCAATCCTGCTCTATCTCCTCGGCATTATATCTCTCCAGCACCCACGCACCCACACTTCCACAATTTCCCCTCACAACCATACCTACAATTAGGGACACATATCTCTTCAATTCACTTACTATCTCCATAACCATCCCCATAACCATCCCCATAACCATTACCTCTCTCCCACCCCATCTCACCCATCCCAAACCAGTAGCCCCTTCTAATCTCCACCCATTATCACCTATCTATCCCCAGACCCAGCCCTATACCCATACACATACACACCACAAACCCCCCCCCCCCCCCCCCCTCTTTCACTATACCCAGGAATCCGAAATCCTAATATAAACACAAGATATATCGTATACAAGTACTATACGAATCTACCTAGAAGCTCCATCCCCGTCATTTCCTCTCCCTCAAAAGGAAGTAAAAGTATAAACCCCTCCATCTTCTCTAGCTCCCCTCTCAATCTCTCAATCTCCCCTCCAATCCCCACTCATCTTCCCGCCAGGCATCAACATACCCAATCGACTCACTCAATCAAGAAATACCAAATACCAAACACCCACGAGTAAAGCAAAGTGCTACAAAGTGTCATCTGTGGCTAAATAACCTCACTGTGGCTAGTAACCAAACGTCCTTGCGACTGGCGACTACCGGAAGATAGACGCATACAATTACCTAGTGTGTTGTTAACTTTAATTTATACATGCCTACCCTACCTTATTACCTACCCAGTACCTACCTACTAACCTAGCCAAAGCATTCGTAATCCATTAGTGCCAACGTTTCTTGGCGCCGTCATGACTCGGATTATTATCGGAAAAAAAAATCACATTCAACTTGTCACCCATCAAGCAGATCACTACCTATTGGGATCACAAAAAAGTAAAAAAGATAATTGAATTTTCATTGTTATACGGTGAAACTATGGCGACTGTATTCCCAAAGTTTGCTGGTAGTCCTAATCAAAAGTGCGCCCATGCCACCATTGCCATCGAGGCCCATCTGTGTACCGATTATGAATATGACCCCAAACCCTATGAAAAAGAAATGGTTCGTTCGCATCGTGAAATTCCATGTACAAATATAACTGCGTCAAATATTGTGTTCATATGGCTTTTGGGGCCGTGAAAAGAATGATAAAACGCTTAAAAGA